GTAGAAGTAATAACAACAAACCCAAGATTGTTAGATTGATCTTTGAGGCTGTCAACTTTTAGTAGTTGAGATGGTTAGTGTGTGCTTTGTATGAATTATATAACCAGTTGTCTTAGCTGATGTCAGTAAAGCATAAAATAAGTTTGTTATTGAAGTGTACAGGTTTTCAATTACTTACTTACTTACCTACGCTTGTTATCCTCAATGGAGCATAGGCCTCTGACCAGTTTTCTCCAACCTACTCTGTATTGAACTGCCCTTTCCAGTTCTGTCCAATTTTCGTTTATTCTTCTCATGTCCTTCTCCATTTCTCGGCGTAATGTGTTCCTTGACTTTCTGCTTTTTGTTTGAATATTGATATTAAAATATTAAACCAACTAATTCAGTTTATGTACTTTACTTATTCATATGAAATCATGTCATCTATTTAATTGGGATCACTAATTCACAAATTGCATTTGTTGTTGGTTTAACGTTTTCACATAAATATTCATGTGTATTATCGAGTGAAGCATAATGACGATCTAACTGAAAACAATCTGGTTTGCTCTAATGTGTTTTTCTAAAAACAGTTTATAAATGTTTATTTACTAATCCTATCTGTCTGATGATTTGAAATAAACTGAAGGAATAAAGTTTTCGGTATCCTAGTAGTTGTTGTAGTCAGTTATTTCTACCAGGTGACTCGCTAATTGACTTAGAATATGCCGATGACATAGTCCTACTTGGTGAAGACGCTGACAAAATGTAGAGTCTTCTCACCACCCTAAGCAACAATGCAAGCATGTTCGGGATGCGGTTCTCACCCTCGAAATGCAAAATGTTGCTTCAAGATTGGGTTTCATCGGCACCTGAACTAGTGATAGTGAGTGAAGTAGTCGGACGTGTAGACCGCTTCACTTATCTTGGGAGTCTCATCAGTGCTGATGGCTTGGTTACTGACGAAATCTCAGCTCGGATACAGAAGGCTCGATTGGCTTTTGCCAACCTGCGTCACTTATGGCGTAGGCGAGATATCCGTTTGCTGACTAAAGGACGAGTGTACTGCGCAGTGATTCGCTCGGTCTTACTTTATGGCTGTGAAACATGGCCAGTGAGAGTAGAAGATATTCGTAGGTTACTGGTTTTCGATCATAGGTGTCTTCGAAGCATTGCTCGTATATCGTGAGACACCCGAGTGAGCAACTCTGTTATTAGGAAACGGGTGCTAGGTAAGAATGGCAGATCAATAGATGAAGTGCTGAAACATCCTCACCTCTACTACTATTGAATTTGAATTGACAATTACATCTCTGTGCTAATGTGGTATGGCAACATGAACTGATGTACTTACGTACAAAGTTCTAAGTTGCATCTGACTGAGTTATTTCGGTGACATTTGTACATGATCACTATCAAACCCAGAAATCTTCTAGATTCTCTAATCTGTTCCAGTTTGTTGTCAGCTGGACGATGATGATACTTCCAAATTAAGAATACTTTTGCCATTACCCATTCAAAGAAATAGAAAACTCTTTAAAATAATACGTGTTGAATTTCTTATCATTTCTCTTAAACAAAAAAAATAATTGTCTTATATGTGTTATAATACGTGAACTATATTAAAGCCACGTTCTTACTGTTTACTCTTGTTTACGATTTTTTTTTAAAAAAAAAGCAAGAAAGAAAATCGATTGTACAGAGATCATTTTCCTTAGAGAAAAAAAAGCACCTCTATGGTAATCAGGTTTTTTTTCTATTCTCAAGTTTCTTATGTTTATCTATGTTGTAGTATGTAGTATGTATATATATACACATAATTCAATTCTTCTCATCAATAATTTGACCTTGGTAACTATTAGATACTAAGTTTAAACAATGATTATTATTACTGTCATGTTAATTAGAATACGATTTCGATAGTTCATTTATTTATATTTGTTTAGGTTTTTTTCAGATCATATTAGGTGTGCTTTTTTTTTCATTTCTTTTCTTTTTTCTCTATTCTACTCTATTCTATTCTATTCTATGCTTTTCCTTCATTTCATTCTGTGTAATTGGTTTCATTAGGATTATACTATTATTATTATTATTATTATACAAAAGAGAAATGGTTTCCAATGAAAACATTCAACTTTTTGTCATTTCTAAGAATTTGTCTTATTATGTATTATGGCTATTATCTATATGCATATATATGTATACACATATGACGCTTAAACAAAGTGTAAGGTGGTAAGTAAACCTTATGATCTTATTACAAGATCACAACATATGGTCAAATGTTTGAATATAGTTTATTGTAGGACTAGATTTCGCCAGTTTAGAGTGTACAATCACTATTAGATGTCATTTCTGAAAGAAGTATGGCAACTTATTTCATGAATATGTCTAGTTGATTAGTAGTATTTTGAATGTGTTGTGTATTTCTTTCAAAGTCATGTATTATTCACTTAAAGGAATAATAATTCAGAATTAATTGATAAGTAAGTATTTGTTATTATTTGACTAGTTAGTCAGCTGGTAAGACGTGATATAGATTACAGCCAAATTTATATTTATCGATTTTTTCTAGTTATATCTACATAAATTACAGGATGCTTCTCTATTTATTTATTGACACACTTATGAGAAGTTTGTTAGTAGAAGAATGTCGTATATATATAAGGTGTGAAAATGTAATTATTTTCTCCGAGATTAAAGAAATCAGTGATGATTAGGAATGATGTTTCAGTTTGGTGTAAGGTGGTTAGCCTAACTGACTAGATTTAGTGGACCTAATCTTTAAATTAAAATTAAGTTACTATCATTACAATATTTTCTTCTATGTTTCCACCTTTTTTTGCAATTCAAGTTTTTGGGTTTTCCATTTTCATTGAGTTATGTTTTGGTTAAGTGTATTTTCAACAATTCCGTTTGTCCAAATCAAAATGTGTTCACATTTCTCCTATTTCACGACGAAGAAAATAGATAGTTTAGCCTAATGCTGAGGTTTCATTCGTTTTCTTGTTTACATTGTAAGCTTTCGTAACAAGGTAAATTGATCTTACGAAAACGTATCATACTCTGCTGGGTTCTAATAGTAAGCAACATTTTTAATCATTTTCCTTAAAATCACACTTTTGCCAATTCTCCTTTCTCAAGATAAGCCCAGGTGCATTCATTCTTTGTGTTCTCTCAAATCCTAACCTTCTGAATTCCTTATCACCTTTAATCTTTTTCTTTTTAATTTTATTTCAATAGATTCTACTTCTTGAATAATATTGTCGAACCCTAAAATCTCCGATTACTTCTAATACTTCTACTACTAAGGGATTTGAAGTGACAATTTCATCTGTGTGCTATGCTATGGCAACTTGAACTGATGTACGTACGTACGTACGTACGAAGTTCTATGCTGTTTTTGACTGACTGAGACATTCCTTACTGTATGTGATGTGTATTCAATTTTGTGGCGTTTATTAAACTTGGTTAATAATTTTCACTTATGAGATGATTAATGCATAAGTGTCTTAAGAAATATAATTTTGATTGTTGATGAATATTTATCATAAATTGTTTGCATCTCGCTATCTTCTCTTTTCTTGATTATTGTAAATATTCACTTGTAGTCAGTCTTAAATGAAAGCTAATTTTGGAATGTCTATATTTTCTTACGGATTTATTTGTAACGTTTTGTTAACATTAAATTCTTAAGCTGGTATTCATGTTTTGTGGTTGCTTTATGCGCTCTATCTACACACAAAAAAGGGATGACATAATAAATACATGAATGGGATACCTTTTATTACCGAATTAACTGAAATTATATTAAGCATTCGCTCTCTCAGTCGATTCATTCATTATCTTACATATTTGTATGCGAACAAGAATATGTGGTTAGAATTTGTGAGCAGGAGGGTGGTACTCGACTGTTAATCATATAAGCGTAGGTTAAGCCTCATCTCAATTTAATCACTGGTTCTTGTAATGTTATACTACTTACTTTTATTAGTTTTAAAGATATACAGCAATTTGCACCTACTTTTATTCAAGTTGTTATAATTTTTTTTATTATTGGAATCCATGCTGGAAAACTTTACAATCTGATTGGTTATACCCGATGAGCATGTAGTAGAGCTTGATGAAGTTGCGACGAGATTGGAATGATTTGAAGTGGTCGAAGCAGCCTTTGAAACTGTCGTTAAAAGTGATGAATCTCGACTATTTCGATTGCGTGGACGATTTGAGGTTGTTGTTGTTGATGTAGTGTTTGTTCTATGTGTATTACGCCGCACACGACTAGAAGTACCAGAAGTTTCCGCTTCAACTGACTCTTCAGTATCTTCAGATTCTTCTTTCGAAGTAATTAAAGGATTAGATGGAGTGTTAGCGAGAGAACCACTCTGACTAATAATCGTACTACTTTACTTTACTGCATGAAGTGGAAGATATTAAAGAATCAGTACTTGTCGACAAAGCAGAGGATGTGGACGGTACCACACCAGACATCCGGCATCGATGAATGCCAGTTTTAGACGAAGACTAATTATCATCGGAAGTTCTTTGAATGAAAACATCACAAACAGCATCGGATCTTACTACTTCTCGATCATCACGATTTGTGTTTCCTTGAACAGTGGTTACAAAACTGGACGATGATGTGATTGATCGCCAATCATCATTCGAAACATTATTGGTTGAATTATGTAATGGAAATTGTTTCACAGAGGATGCATCTACAACACCACCTGTACATGGGATTAATAATGGACTAGGATTAGTAGAAGCAATAGGAACTATGACACCTTTAGTTGGTACATTCGTTGTTGTAGTTGACGAGTAAAATACATGAGTTAACAGATGAGATGATGAAGTACTAAGAAGCATGGTTATCTATGTATAAATAGAATTCGATTTGTTAAATTAAAAGCTTTCATGCATTAAATCAAACGTCTTTTTAAAAAAAACTTTACTCCTGTCTTAATGAATTGTCGTCTATCTAAAAAAAATTCTCTATCTTTCATATCGATATTCGTTAGGTACGTATTGCAACATTAGATTGTGTCGCTGTGGTAGCTCATCATCTTGGTATTGATAATTTGAATTGTTTACTAGCTGCTGTATCAGATGCAGATAATTTTTTATTAAAAACTTCCGGGAATTTTTTACAACAAACTTATTTAGAAAAAGATAACAATTGTCATTCCAGTGTGAAATATTCAACATTATTAGAAGCTGTACAAAAACGTTTGGTTAAATGTCATTTACCACAGTTGGATAATCAATCACGTGTGATACGATCCAATAATTATAATGTACCTGGTGCATCAATATTAGCTAATACGTTGGGATTAAGTTCAAAACAGATTACTGATTTATATAATTCCACTGACGACACTGGTGGTACTACTACTACTACTACTACTACTACTACTACTACTACTACTACTACTACTACTACGAATACACCACCTTCGTCACAATTGTCAATTTCTACAACTCAATTAGATCTATTATCAAATTTTGCAACAGATCAAAAAGTAAAATGTAAGTTAAGGTGTTTTTAATTTTTTTTTCTTTGATGTTCATGTTTTACTGTATCCGTTAAAGTTGAGTCTTTATGAAAACCGGCTATTTATAAAAATCTATTACTTATAGTTTCTGGTTTAGACGGTGAGGTAGACTAGGTTTATTTATTGGGTTCTGGTGTTATGTCATGATGCACGTCGAGTGAGTAGATATACAATGCTATCCCTGCTTGGTGTAACTATTTAAAGACCTGATGTTCATATATTCCTCATAAACTAGTGAACTTCAGTCTAGTACTTTTTTTACAAAATGAACTGACGAAGAAGGCATCTAAACATATCCATTGGGTAAGCCAAAGGTTCATATACAGTGAACTAATAGTGAAGTAATCAAACATACACAGTACGATATTCCTGTGATTTCAGATTCTGGGAGACCTATAATTTTCGGAAGCAGTGGGATATGCTTACTCTAGTCATTTCACTGTAATTTGGCTAGGAAAATTGAAAACCTGTTTTGTTTACCTGTTTTCTGTAAACCCTACTTTGAAGATTATAATTTTAAACTTTGAACATTACTACTTGAAATTAGCAAGATCTCTATCGCTTGTTTTTATATTGAGGATGGGGGTTGAATTTAATTAAATCTTAAAAACTGATTTAGGAATTTAATTTTTATATACCCCAAGTGTGTTTTTACTTTATATAAACCACCATATAAAATAAGAAACACTGTATGAGATCATATGAAGATTGTATTACGTACTTATTATATCTAGTCGGTAAACCGTTAACAGGACATGATGTGGCATGAAAAATGCTACTGTTCAGGTTATTTTCTAGACATCTGAGTTGTCTCCCTGTAGCGAAATGAGCCGTCGTTTATGACTAGTCATTAGTATTTTTCTAAGTTTTAAGTGAATATCTTTCAAAATAAAGTTTGTATCTAGTTCCACAACCTATTGATATTGGGTTATTGAACCTTTGTTTAATTCGTTACTGAACCACTTAATTAACTGGTTCCCACTTCTTTACAAAACAACTCAGTTTTAAGATGAATGAATTTAAGCTATCCAATGAAACTAAGCATGCTAGATTACGTAGATGTCGTAACACCTGTTGATACACATGAGAATGTTTGGATTATATAGATCTCATTTTATATACCATTTTTGAAAATATGATGTTTGGTTTAGTCAGTTTTATACACCCGGCCAGTAGTATTCGAGTAGAGAGCCTGTATAAAGTTAATGTACTTCTCTGTTACTCGTTTCAGTGACAAACACTGACATAGAACCGCACGATCTAAAGAGTCAGGTGCTGCCTTAAGGTCGAGAGATACCATTATTGTGGGACGTCCGAACGTGTGTTTATGTTCTAAGACCTGACTTAGTGTAAATATTGTGGTCTATACAGCCACATCCAGGACGAAAACCAGCCTGGTTTTTTCTAGTCTGCTTTTCACGAGCTCTAGTTAGGCGTCGGAATATTGTTAAAGCCAGTATTTTAAACACTATAATAGTAAAACTGATTCCTCCGTGGAGGAGGACTTTTGACCTTCCTTATAGACTGAGATAATCAGTGATTGAGACCAGTCGGATAGAATTGCGTCCAGTCCCTAGATTCTACCCAAAATTTCAGTCAATCTTACTGCTAAAACTGGACCACCATCCTTATAAACCTCAGGCGTTAACATTTCAGGGCTCGCTACTCTCGCCTCAAATTTCCTACAGCCTTTTCAGCTTCAAAAGATTCGGAGAATTTATATCAATTTGCCATTCAGGTTAACTGCATACAGATCATGGGTAACCGAAATGTAGCTGAAGGCCAGTTGAACTGATCCCTAAAGTTGTTTTCTGCTCATCGATCTAATCTCCTGGATTGAGAATGAATAATAAATAAGCTTGTCTCGCTAACAGTCGGATTCCTAATACCGGTTCCCTTAACAAAAGCCTGAACAGTTGTCTATTGTTTGTTACCTGTAGGTTCCAGTTAGGTCATTCGTATTTAACGCAGGAGCTGGTATGAATATGTATCGTCGTTTTAAACCACCAAATCGTACATCAGGGCAGCAGTAAACGAGAAATTGAAAAAAGTGGAGGTAAGAAAAAGAAATGAGTATCAACTACAATTGAAATGCTTCATATAAGGGAACAAATGAAATGGAGTATCACTTAAAAAAACAATCTATCTACACATTATTTTATTCGCTAAACACATTATTGATAGGATATGAATTGATGAATGACATATTTATTTCTTCATTCTACAACAATGTTGATGAACTTTTTTTTGTATTATACTATTCTCTAAATCTGTTATTTGTGTTGTGTAATTCTTTCATTTCAATAGTATGAATCTCAAATTAGTGCGTCTCTCTATACAATCCCCCTTCTTTTTTTCTCTTTTATTGATTTATGTTTTTTCCTCTCTCACGTGCTTCGTTTCATTTCATTTCTCTTGTTGTTGTTGTTGGTGTTGTTAATTTACAAAGGTACTTAATTTATGTATTGCATTATTTATTGTTAATTAAATAATGATTTCATCTTTGTTTCCCTCTCTCTCTCTCTCTCCCTCCTATGATTATATTTTTCTAAAGCTAATTATCGTCGTCGACCTAGTGCTGGTTTAACGCGTAGACAAAAACAAATCCCATGGGATCCACGTATCAGTATTGATTTGTCTAGTTCATATCCGAGTAAAGCATCTGCATCATCAGCATCAGCATCATCGTCGTCATCATCACGTTTAATTCGTCGTAATTCTAATTGTTCTTTATTCCCTGATAGTAATAATAATAATAATAATAATAATAACTCTACTAATTTATCAATTAAAAATCATCACATTACTAATCATTTTGTAAATAATACCGAAAATGATATGGTAAGTTAGTTGGTTAGTTAGTTAGTTAGTTAGTGAGTATGAATTTTTCATTTCTCTCTACTAAAATATTGTTTCATTGATAATTTACACATTTTTGAAACCACGAACCGATCAATGTTAGACCACCATTAGAAACCTGGAAGCAATAGACGGCCGTTTCGTTCTGGTATGGGACTCCTCAGCAGTGCGCATCCACGACCGCTGCACCCCTCAGGATTCGAACCCAGGACCTTCGGTATTGTGCGCGAACACCCTAACCGATAGACCACTGATAATTTGTTTTTAATTTTTTTCACAAGATTGTTGATTGAAGCTGTAGGTGATTGATATTTTAGTATGATATCGGTTTATACTACTAATTAGGAAATATTTTTTTTGATAATTTTAATAATTTCTGAATGAAACTAAATGAATATAAGTATTTACTAACAACTACTTCAGCCATTAGTGGACTCTAGGGTTTATTTAACTGAACACGTTTCTTAAAACAATGTCACACATGTAGGGTGTAAGGTCAAGGTTGAGTTGGACTAGCTACTTTGTCCCATTGTTATGTTCTTTAATAACCAAATGAAGTTCACGGAGTTTAATGTGAATGAGAATGCAAATGAATTGAAAACAATATGTATTCCTAGGAGAAATCGCTTTATTTTAAATTGGATAGAAATAAATACACAAGAACACCTTAAGAGTTTAAGTGGGCACATAGAATCATCAGTACTCGATCGACTCGGTGAACTGTTGGGTAAAGTTTGAAAATTAATACCTCTAGATAGTTGTACGGAAGCATCATCTTTATCTTTCTCTTTCTAAATTTATCTCATTGAATTATACTTTTCGAATCATATCTTCGAACCCCAGTCTATTCTATTACCGCTAAAACGTCTACTATCGCTACCACAAAGTGATTTGAACTGACAGTTGCGTCTCTGAGTTAATGCGGTAGGGCAACCTGAACTGATGTACTTATGTACGAAGTTCTGCGTTGTATCTGTCTGTCTGTCTGTTGTACGGAAGTTGTTGATGAATTTAAACGCTTGTTTACAGTATTTGATTGTATGGCTCATCGTTATAAACAATTATCTTCAATAAATACAAAATTAAGCTTCATAATAAATTATGTAGATTGCCTGTATTGTTTCACTCATTCAGTGTATTCCCAACTGTTCGGACGAAATAAAAAACGTGCCCCAAAATATCGTAACAGTGCCCACTAGTGACTAGCTTCGTGTGGAAACTCTCGGAGTTCTAGTCAAGAAGACGTGACCAATGGAGTTCAGCCCTGTCGGGTGTAGGCAGTAACTACCAAAAATAAATGGGTGAGACCGTGTGAAATCCCTAGATCAATCGGAGTTGTACATTAACACCGTTGGATGCCGGCCCAGTGATCCGATGGTAAGTCGTTCGCCTACAATGGCAAAGGTCCTGGATTCGAATTCTGAGAGGTGCAGGAGTCGTGAAAGCGCAATGCTTATGAGTCCCATACCAGAACGAAACGGCCGTCCAGTGCTTGTGGGTGTCTTATGGTGGTCTAACAATGATTGATTCATGATTTCAAATGTGTAAATACCCTATAGTTAAACTATTGAAGATCCGATCATCGATCCCATTTATTTAAATTCTTGTTACTTTTTCTGTGCACAATATTTTCACAATAATATACACTTTTCAACACAGTTTAGTTGTTTTACTCTCAGATTTAGCATTTATGAACTAGTAATAACCGGAAATTAGTCTTAGTTTTACATACCTTTGAAATGAATTCAGTAATCTATACATTTTTTATCGATAAATCAAATTTCGACCATTATTATTGTTACACATTTTTGAAACCATGAATCGATCAATGTTAGACCATCACCATTAGAAACCTGGAAGCACTGGACGGCCGTTTCGTCCTGGTATGGGACTCCTCAGCAGTGCGCATCCACGACTCCTGCACCCCGCAGGATTCGAACCCAGGACCTTCGGTATTGTGCGCGAACGCCCTAACCGATAGACCACTGAGCCGGTATCTAACGGTGTTAATGTCTAACTTGATCATATTCACGGAGTTGCGCAACCTCATACACAGTCTTCGGTAGTTACTGTCTACACCCGAACAGGTTGAACTTCACTGGTCACGTCTTCCCACTAGAACTCGGAGAAGATTCCTCACGAAGCTAGTCACTAGTGAGCACAGGTAATTTGCATTACGGGGTTGTGAAGATTGTTAAGTTACACATTTTTGAAACCATGAATCGATCAATGTTAGACCACCGTTAGAAACCTGGAAGCACTGGACGGCCGTTTCGTCCTGGTATGGGACTCCTCAGCAGTGCGCATCCACGACTCCTGCACCCCGCAGGATTCGAACCCATTTATAGTTAACCACACTAAACCATTAATCTTATTTATAATTCCATTTTTCTCTCTGACTGACAGTTATCTTCTCTTGCGTCTCATTAGTTGGTGACTTTTCTGATTTAACAATTATTCGTCTCAATATAAAGTTTACTTTCTTTCGCTTTTAGTATCTGTCTCTCAATGAAACACTAGACAATTAGTAGTTATGCTAACTAAGACAAAATAAAACAAAATCTTTTCATAATTCATTTACTTATTTATTATTTATTAGTTTTGAATGTCATAAGTTTCATAAATATTTCACTGTTTCTTACATAACTTGAAGAATGATTCAATGGAATCATTTTTTGAAAAAAATCATCGTTTGTCGACAGACAGACAGTGTTTTCTTCAATGTTTGTTTTTATCTATTTGTCTAATCTGTGATTGGCTTTTTTTATCCAGCAATTTGAAGGTTTAAACCTCGACTCACTTTAACATAAGCAGTTGGATAATATCAGTAGCGCCCCTCTCCTTCAAATAAACAATATTTCTCAAAGATGGACAGATAGAATAGTAGTAGTTGGTGAATGAGCTACACTAATTAATTGATTGAGCGTAATTTACGAAGTTAGACATTAACATCTTTAGATACCGGCTCAGTGGTTCAGAGGTTAGGCGTTCGCGCGCTAGACCGAGAGTCCTTGGTTCGAAGTCATCGATATGCACTGTTATTATTACCATTTAAAAAAAAGTAAAAACGACTATTTCATCGAAGAAAAATTTTTTTGTGATATTCTTATTTTCAAACCCTGTGCAAGAATGGTGACCAAATAAGGCGTGTGCACCAGTGGACGAATAAGAGTTAGGACTATCTTCTACTGCACTCGAAGTTTAATTTTGTCACTGACAGCTTTCCATTGGTCAGAGCTAAATACTTTTTGGCGATAGACTAAATAGTACTTACTTACTTACTCCTGTTACCCCTAGTGGAGCATAAGCTGCCGACCAGCATTCTCTAACCTACTGTGTTCAGAGCCTTCCTTTCTAGTTCTATCCAATTGTTGTTCATTCTTCTCACGTCTATCTCCATTTCTTGGAGTAATGTGTTCCTTAGCCTTTCTCTTTTCCCTTGACCTTGAGGTTTCCAAGTGAAGACTTGTCTTATGACGCAGTGTGTCCTATCCACTTCCATCGATTCTTCCTGATTTTCTCCTCTACAGGAATCTGGTTTGTTCTCTCACATAGTAGATTGTTGTTGATGGTGTCCGGTCAATGGATGTGAAGTAGTTTGCGTAGAAAACAGTTAATAAATACTTGTATCTTCTGTATGATGACTTTTGTAGTTTTCCAAGTTTCTGTCCTCCTTACAGACTAAATAGTATATACCGATTAACGAAGTATAACATGATTTTCCTACTCGCAAACGTTATCGATTAATGTCATATTCATACTACTGCTAGTAGTAATAATATCGATATTCAATTGTTTAAAAGCTTGATTTTTCATGCACTTCGTTTATTTCATCCAAGTTTCGAATCATTATTAAATCCAACATTGTTTAGTTGATAGTCACATCTATACTCAATGTTGTTCAGCTGTACATTGATCGAAACTCTTATTTCATTGCATAACATTTTATTCATAGTTATTCTATATATGTACTCTTTGGTATACATGATATGGTGTTGTTAGTTAAAAGTGATGTGACTACCTACTACTACTCTAACACATGAAACCGTGAACTCTGATCACTTTTTGTTGTTGAATGAATACGAGTTCCATTTTCTCTCTCGAGTTTCAATTTCGAAAAAAAAATCGTAGGAAATGTTGACCCTCATCATCATCATGATCATCAACACATTGTTGTTATTATTAGTTCACAATTAATTACCAAGTTTCATTGGGGGATTTTCTATTCTTTCCCTTAGTTGTATAATATGAACTTCATTGAATCTTTGTTTCAGTCAAGTTTTTTCTTCCTATTTCTCTCTCTCGTTCTCTCTGTCTTCTACTTGATGCGTTTTTCTTTTCATATAAGAGTTTATTATTATTATTATTATTTTTAATGGTTATATCCTGTCCCTTTTGTTATCTATGATGTTGTTTTTCTTTCTTCTTGTGTGTGTGTGTGGGTGATTGTTTTATTCTATTCAGTCTCTTCATAAGAATTATGTTGATATATATATATATATATATATATATATATATATATATAAAATAAATTCTACTTTTTTTAGTAATTTCTGATTTCCTGTGTAGACATGACTATTCATATATACATATATATATGATATAGTGTTATTTCTTTACAGATTTGAGAAGAAAATATCATGATTGTTGTTGAATGACTATTTATTTTTTTTCTTTAGTGTAGGAGTAGTTGTTGTATAATCATATCCCTTTCAGGTGAAAAGAAATTATATATATATATATATATATATATATATATATATATATATATATACAAATCATACTACTGATACATACTACTATTAATACTACTGCTACTACTACTACTACTACTACTACTTATACTACTACTACTAACCACTACTCTATCTATGAGTTAGGCTACTTTTGAAGTTGAAAGAGAAATCGTTGATGAGATGATAAGTTATTTTATTATTATTTTATTTTTTTCTTTTCTAATTCATGTTTCAATTTGATGAATTTTTTTCGTGTTTGTTTGTTTGTTCTCGTAGTTATTTTAAAATAATAAAACCCGGAAACAATGAATGTCGTCTGTAAAAGATACAAAAAAATATTTTTTTCTTTTTTTCATGAAATTCAAGTCAAGTCAAGAATTTATGTGTACTTTTCAAAAAAAAATTATAACATGAATTATAATACTACTGCTACTACTCATCAACCAACTTTTATACTACTTTGATATTTTTTCTATCTGTTAACGACGAATCTAAAAATATTCTATTTGATTATTTATTAGAAATGATTGTAACATTTTTGAAGAATCATTGCAGTTTATGAGGAGATGTAGAGTAAACTATAATTATTTCATTGAGTGTGTTGATTCACTTTTGGGTAATATTAGATGGGGTAGATTATTGATAATTCACTAACCTTAAAGATTTATGCTGGCAGTTTCTGATTTAGTGTGTTACGGTGAACTAATTAAAGGTTATATAATCTGTCATTGTTTTGATTTGAATAATGCTCTTTTGAAAGTGTCAACTGAACGTTTTGATTGTTGACTTCAATATTATGGCATAAGGACGAGTGGACAACAGAATACTTGGAAATGGCTGGTGGTGGAACTGTGACCCACTTACTGACACTTTCATATCTGGTTCACGAGAAAATCTCGATTACCATTTAGAGAGTCTTCGTTGTTGTTAGTGTTTACCATGAAGAGAGTTTTTGGATATTTAGAGAAACGCATCAATGCTAACCGGATGTATGGTGCCATCTACTGGACCTGCAAAATCTACATGGATTCTTAAGCTTGCATCTTCAGATTATAGTCATATAACTGATGGGACTTGAGTGTTGAATTTTTTTTGGTTAATACATATTCTGCCTACAGGTTAATCTTTGAGCAGTAAACTTCATAGGATTAATATCTAAGTGGTTGTGCTGTGAAGTTAGTGTGAAATATGAAGACGAATAGATTGCGATGCTCCTCCTCCTCCTCCGTTTCTCAAACATTAAGCCATCTTCCATAAAACTGAATGGTTTATGAAAATGATCAAGTTACCTTAGCTCTGTCGACCGTCCATTAACAACAAATACAAACGCTTTTTGAATTAGTCCAGTCATTGATTGATGCAAATTGGATGTCTGTAGGTGACACTGACAAAGGTCAAATGCAGATACATAAATGCTTTTGTCGTAGTAATTCCCTCTTTAGCTACAACATAATGACTACAGACCACTCACTTCTTGTTGGGTTGCCCACTAAATATACTTGGAAAGCTCATCATTTTACCAGAAGTCTTCACTCAGGAGATGTTATATCTTTAAATCACATACGAGTATGAGTAGCGCTCATTTCTGCAGTCGAATCATTGTTCATATCAATAGGGAACTTGTGATCTATTAACAGCGTAAATCAATTACGGGGATAGATAACTCAAACCATTTCACGAATTCATATCTGTTTGCAACAAACTAGTGGCTTATTTGAACTTAATAGAGCAGTGATGTTGGTGCGTCGGTCATTCATTTGAGTCCGTCCCACTGTAGACATGAACTCTGAAGTATGGGTACATCAATTTGGTGAGTCCCGAATGAAATGAAAATTACACGTTTTCAATTCTACTGCTAACTACAAAAAATCTATTCGTAAAAAAATAGGAATAGTTTGCTTTGTTGAATTTGACATTCAACTGGTAGGATGAAATATTGTCTGATTTTTCTATATTCTGCATCTAAGATATTCTGTTCGCTATATACAGACTTGAGCAGAATCACTTCGTTTTTTTGAAGTTATCATAGTTTTATGATACAACCACGATAATCAAGTGTAGATTGTGTCATTAACATCTATCTACTCATCACTGCATTTGCTAGAGATAATGCTTGGTTGTCCAAACCAAATTGTACTAGTAACTTGGAATAAGGGTTATCCAACTCCCCGAGATAGGTCCTTCATACCCACCAATTCGGTTTAAGCTCCGGAAATTCGCTTTTCGTACTCTAAATTTCGTAAAAGAAAACACTTGTGCTACAAGTGGGCAGTGAGGTAGAACTTCCCAGTTCGTGGCTAAATGAGAGCGCTTGTAATGGTGGGAGAACGAACCCTTTCTACTCTCAGCTGTACCAGGGCATCAGGGGGGCGAATTCCTCTAGTGTGCCTTCAATTTTATTTTTTTTTTTAGTACATCATTATATCTGAATACTTTAAAACAATAAAATCATTTTATTTTTATTCTTTGTATATATATGTAGTTGACCGATCACAATCATGGATACAATCCACAATTGTATAAAAATTTCGAAGATAATCATTGTAACAAGGTTAACACTAAACATAATAATAATAACAATAATAATGATATTGATAATAGTAATAATCATAATGAACATGTTAATCATGATGTTAAAATGGATTATAATAATCGCATTAAAAAATCCAATTCAATGCATCGTACCAATATTGTCAACAATGGTAAACATAATAATTCTCAACAGCTACAATTACAATCACAACTCGAATCACAACAGCAACAACAAGATTATTTTAATAAAACTATACATAATTCTGTAAGTCTTAATAATATCAAGTCAGAATTGATTAATCAAGCATCAGTGAAATATTTCACGCCTAAATCACAATTATCCGAATTTTCTACACAAAGTTTACCAGCTTCTCCGGTCGGTTTTGATCACCGTCATCATCCGAAATAGTTGGAGTGAGTAAGTATACATGTAGTAATAGTAGTCCCAGTAGTAGCAGTACTAGTAGTATTTAGTAGAATAGTGTAGTAGTCTTATTATTTTTTATTTTCTACTCGTTAATTGCTTTGAAGACTTATTCTTTTTCTAATAAAAATAAAAAAATCTAATTTAGTAATTTGTTGAAATTGTGTAGTTAGTGTTTCAGGAAGTTTTTATGTTTTTTTTATTAATGAAGATTTCTCGGAAAGTATTTATGAACTGTTTTATTTTCCTTCTTTCACATTGTACTTTATCACCTGTGGGGCAGCTTTTACATACATACATTGATGATTGACATTTTCCAAATCTATTTCAATGCGTAATATTTATTGATCATTCTCTTTTTTTAAATCCACTTGATGCCTGCCTGGTGTACTGCATTCATAAAATTGGCTGTTTTAGTATAATGATGATGTAAAACGAAAATTGAGAAAAATAAACATTTAATGCTGTCATTTCGCGTTTTTTTTCTCCACTGTCAGCAAGTGAGATTTCATCAAACTATTCACGTTGTTTGTATAAGAAAAAAATCAACACTTGAAATAGTTTATAATCTGTACACATTTTAGTACAATCACAGGAAGACGACTGTTCAGTTGATAATTAATCATTTACGCACTGAAGATCATCACTAGAAGTTACGTCATTATGTAACAACACTATATGTATTTAATTTCTGATAGGTCCGCTAAACGTCATTAACAGTTGTTCGATATAGTAGTTATTTATCTGTTTTCTAGTTACCTAGTTTCATTTATCATTTTTCTATTCAACAACAGTCGATAGCGCTTTCATACACTTTACGAAGTGTGTGCTATTCTATTCATTTGTTAGCCTGCTGTTTATTATGCATCTCGCTTGTGACATACACTATACTGTGAATGATCTTACTGACATTTCAATGTCTGATCCATAGTTTATAGTTAGTTACGTACTGTCTGCTTATCGCATTGTCAGTCAGTAGTGCTTTGTATATAGATTCTGGAGATGATCACTTGCATTTTGGCGTTAAAATGTATGCGATACTACTGATGAAGCCTAATCAAACAAAAGTTCTATATGGAGGTTTTAATGACAATGCTGTTTTTGAAATCTCCTTACAAGCAGCTCTAAAGCTATACTGAAGTAGGTAATAACTTATCATTTGACCTTATAACTTTGATAATCTCCTTCATATTCATGTGTTTTATTTTGATTACTTTATGCTTTGTGTTGAATATTTTATATGATTTGATATCTACATTGTTTGTATTTAGTCAGTTTTATCAAAATAACTAAAATACTATTCAACTTTTGTTTACAGTTATCTTTAGATTCATCCCCTATAGAATTGACCAAATTGTGTCCTCTACGTTCTCCCCCCAGTATGGCTAAGTCCGGGTCGAACAATGAAGGACCAAGCCCTTTTAATACTCCACGCCGTAAACCCCGTTTAGCACCGATTCGTCAGTCAGATCATTCCATACTTTGGACATCACAAGATCAATTTATTCCAAGCTCCCATCTAAGTAATTGCATAATTTTAAAAAGATTAAAATTGAACTCATTTGAAATTCATTTTCATAACATTTATTAAACATTTTGTTTAGTGTGTATCCTATAACTTAATCGGTGTAAATCCCTCTACTTCGATGATGATCATAGTATATTTTTATTCTCCTTTTTCTCGTGCTTCATGTTTGCCACAGTGTGTTTTCGCTCTCTTGAACAAAGTTTGTACGCATTTGATTTTGTGAGTTCTTGGGTTATGTAAGTCAGTTTCGAAAATACTTGAGCCCCCGGTTTTCCTATGTCAGTTCTGGTGATTAGTACATTCAGGAATGATAGTTTTTTGTTTGACCCCTTTACCATTTGAAATCAAGAATTGGTCACTGTTAGACCACCATTAGAAACCTGGAAGCACTGGATGGCGCTCCGTCCTGGTATGGGATTCATCAGCAGTACGCATGCGCGACACCTGTACCTCGTAGGTTTCGAACCCAGGACCTCCGGCCTTGCGCGCGAATGCCTAACCCTGGACCACTGAGCCGGTATCTAACGGTGTTAATGTCTAAATTTGATCAGCCTGTTAGGGTGTAGATAGTAACTACTGTAGACGGTTGCACAACTCCATGAATTAATCAAAGTTAGACACATTTAGATTCCGGCTCAGTGGTCCAGAGGTTAAGCGTTCGCGTGCAACACAGAAGGTCCTTTGTTCGGATCCTGCTAGGTACCGGAGTCGTGGATGCGCACTGTTGATGAGTCCCATACCAGGACGAAGCGCCATCCAGTGCTTCCAGGTTTCTAATGGTGGTCTAACATTGATCGATTCATGATTTCAAATGTGTAACTTAACAATCTTCACAACCCCGTAATCCTTTACCATTGTGAATTGCATGCCATCAAGGACGTTGTAGATCCGATAGTAGGAATTCTCCAGCTCGTTCCTTTTAATGATGACCAATCTATCGTTTATATAACAAACCCAGTCTTTCTTCACAATCTAAACACGGATGCTTTTTCAAAAAAAAAAGAACTGTCAATGAAGGATTAGTTAATTATGATGGCGTCAATTCTTTTAGGGCTAATTAATTTGCATTAACCTTAATCAAAAGTAAATTTGCTTAGTACAACTGGTTTATGTTGGATGATCGTTTTTATCGGTTTTTTTGGTTTTAAAGTTCAAATGGGTGGATTTCTAATGGTTAAAATGAGTCCCATGTTCAAACAACTGTTCCACCTACTTCTATTTTTTTTTTGAACCAATGGGTAATATGATTAACCCTCAAATTTTTTTCCTATTCTCTCTCTCCCTATACTTATTTACTTGATCTGTTGACCGTCTTTAGTTTTTTTTCCTTAATTTTTCCTTACTCACAGATTCCACATATCCTGCTTCATTATTACCAACTCGAGCTACTCTAGTACGTCAAAGTGGTCGGACACGTTCAATGCTAAATCAATTATTGCATAATATTGATACAAATATGGAAAATTATAATATAGAATATAATAATATTAATAAATTAATCACACCTTTAAATACTACTCATCATTCTATTACATGTATATCATCGAAAGAAGTTTTGAATAATAAATTGAATCGTAATATTCAATCGGATAGAACAATGACAATATCAGCTAACAACGTGAATAATAATAATAATAGTAATAATAATAATAATAATAATAATCATCTTAATCATACTCATAACAATATGATTGGTACAACCAGTAGTAGTAGTAGATCAACTATGGAATATGATCCATTTTATTATAATCATTTGGATGGAAATATTACAGGCGATGAAGAGATGATTTACGATGAAGATTATGAATCGGATAAAGAATTTATCATTGATGGCAGCGGTAATGACACTAGTCGAACAATCAATAATAATAATGATCATGATAGTAACAATAATAATACTCCAACATTTTGGCGATCGAATCGATCAAGAAAACCGAACTCGTTGCCTTCTAGTGCATTACCATTGGATTTAGATAATACTGATTCAGCTTTACCGAATTCACCAAGTTCTGAAATGCCTGAAGTAAGGTTTTGTTTTGTTGTTTTTGTCAATTCCTCTTATTATTATTATTATTATTATTATTAGTAGTAGTAGTAGTATTAGTAGTAGTAGTAGTAGTACCAGTGTGGTGCGCGCTACTTATAAGTAGTATATGACGCGAGTGTAAACGTAATGTCTGGCAGCAGAAGATAGGGGAAGTTCAAGAAAGGAAGAAGAGTGGGAATACAATGGAATTTGTATGAAACGCATGAATAGTGAAATGTCAGACAATGGATTGAAGATCTGAAAATTAACGGTTACGATATGGTTTTGCTATTTTACTGAGTAACTCTGTGATTTTCGTTAAATGCAATTCGGTTGCCCTCACCTGTGTTCTCCTTCACTACACTAGTAGTAGTAGTAGTATTATAATGATTTTGTATATGATAGTTGTAAATAATTCCTTTTTTAATGTTGTAAAATCATTCTTCACTAATCAATGCTGTTCAATATGAATCTTTTGAGTTTTGTAATTAGTTGATTGTAATCCCATAATTATTTAAGACCCATACATGTAAGCTTTTTGATTTGCGTAAAGTCTAATTAATTTTCGTTGATCTGTTGAATTAAATTTACTCTATTCTGTTCATATTTCTTAAAAATTTGGTTATAATTCAATATATTCTTCTTCATTATTTATTGGCTAACTCAATCATAGAGCAGTTGTTATGATCACATTAGGTTATTTTTCAAGGAAATGAATGTTTGATTCTTGTTGGGTGGTTGTTTTTTCGCTCTGAACTGGATAGTTTAAGATGTTAAGCTGCCATTGTCCTCCTGGACTATGTCATCAGCATAGACTTCATTTAGAAGTGAGGTGTTTCAATATTTCCACTCACACAGGTGTCATTATATATGACCTTTATCTTTTCAAGTTAATTTTACTAGAATCTACTTCTTAAATAATATCTTCGAACCTTAAAATCTCCGATTACTTCTAATACTTCTACTATTATGGGGTTCGAAGTGACAAGTGCATCTGTGTGCTAATGTAGTATAACGAATTGAACTGATGTACGTACGTACGTACATACGAAGTTCTATGTTGTTGTTGACTTGACTTGATATTTATCCATCCTGTTGTGAGAACGAAACTATATCGAAGCTATCCACCTGAGCTACAAATCTCCATCATTATTTCACTGTTTTCTTTTGTGAACATACTGTTACGCTCATCTCTATGTATGACTGAACTATTACGGGTTCACCTTAGTCGAATAACGAGAACAAACAATGAACCAGAGTCCAGGTAGGCTACTGTGATCCTTTGACTCAACTGTACCAGCAAGAAGTCTTGATATAGCGTAGAAAGTGCATTCAGCCAGCACACCATGAATCCAAGCACTCACATTGCGTTTATTTATACTCTATAGAGACGTCCTTGGGACAGTCACGAAAATAGTACACTAAAATGACACAGTAACCAATCACAGCCAAGGATTTTTCTGGTTGGAAATGTAATCTCAAGGTCAACTGATCGGTATATGAAATAAAACCAAAATAAAGATATTTATCAAGCGAGTTTCGGGGATCTAACATCCCCAACACATATACGGTTAATTTTCATGCTTCGACTTGATGATTATATCATTCCATGTTTCTGAAGTGTTCGTTTAAAGCATAAAATCACTGTTCACAGTTATCATGATCACTTAACGTTTCAACAAATAATCAATCCAATTTTCATTCTGTATCTAAAAAAGATACCATTATTTCTCCCTATTTTACCACTTTTCTATTTCAAATCTGAAAAATAATGATCAATCTGTGAAACTTGTAGGCAAAAATCTGAAACGCAACTCTGAAGAGTTTTGAATGAATTAGGCTACATTTAAGTTCATATTGACTACTCTATATGACTGTGCACTCCACTATGATTTTTAAGCAAAGTGAATGATATAAGGATTATGGGAATTGATCATAAACTAAAATTTTATATTACATAATATAATCTGTTGTAAAGATTTGTCACTAATAAAATGAATTTTTTCCTCGAACCATTTAACTTTTAGTTAATCTACACTCCAGGTTCGAACCCAGTTTGATTTATACAGCCGGTTTTATCAACATAATCAATTCTTCATAATTTTCAAATACCATATACTGCATTCAGAGAAGAGTCTCTAATGATGTCTTCCTTCTATTTTTTCTCTTTCAAATAAAAGTCACGAATGTATATAATGAAACGAAATGACAATATAAAATTTATGCGTATAGATCTTTATACATTCTGTTTTCGTACTAAGGGAATCCTCAAATGAAATGTAGGCGTTTATGCTATTTCGTTCCTACATATATTGATACATGCATGTTTTGTGTAAGGTATAATACATACGTCCTGTTGTGTTACTTCTAGCTCTTCATTGTCTTCAGTGGGTGTGGTTGTTTTTTGATTTATTTATGTATGGATGCTTGACATGTGTGCGTGTGTGTGTATGCGTATATCTGTGTATGTTCAGTAACGTTCACTGAAGCTAATTTATTTATTAACTTATCATATATACTCTTTTCAAGATATACATTCTGATTTTATATAACAATATTATAAATTTGATATCCCTCCTCGGTTTTTTTATTCACACTGATCTTATTGTTAGTTGGTCTGTTTGTTTTTTCTAATCATTATATTAGAATATTTGACAAAACGATGTGAACTTTACCAGTGTATCTTTTAAGTGTAAACATAATCATAATTTGAAAACATGAATCGATCAATGGTAGACCACCATTAGAAACCTGGACGGCAGTTTCGTCCTGGTATGGGACTCATCAGCAGTGCTCATCGACGACTCCCACACTTCGTAGGATTCGATCCCAGGACCTTCGGTCTAGCTTCGACCGATTGACGGTCTTGCGCAACCTCATACACTGTCTTCGGCAGTAGCTGTCTACACTCGATCATTTTGAAATTCACTGGTCACGACTTCCCACTAGAACTCGGAGAAGATTCCTCACGAAGCTGGTCACTAGTGAGCACATGTAATTGCATTAAGGAGTTGTGAAATTTGTTAAGTTACACATTTGAAATCATGAATCAATCAATGTTAGACCATAATTCACAAGTTGAATAAAGAGAATTTGATAATTAGTTTTATTTGTAGTACAAAAGAAATTGTCCGGTCCGCTTGATGTATGTTATGTATTGAATGTATCAGTCACTCATTCATAATAATAATCATAATAACAGTAATGTTAGTAATTCATACTATTGTCTTCACAACTGAGGGACTATTATCATCTTCATAAATGTGCTGTCAGTGAGTTACAACGTAGAATTTCGTACGTGCGTACATCAGTTCAAGTTGCTAATGCATATTAGCACATAGATCGAGTTGGCAATTCAAATCCTATAGTACTTGTAGAGGTAGTAGAAGTATTAGCAGTAATCAGAGAGTTTAGGGTTCGACGATATTAATCAAGAAGTATAATCTATTGAAATAAACTTCAAAAAAGAAGGATAAAGATGATGTAGAATCCAGAGGATTAGAATTTGAGAGAAGACAAAGAATGGATACACCTGCACCATCGCAAACGGTTTTGAGCGATGTTATTCAAGGTCTCTAACCATCGAATAGTATAATCTCGCGGGCCTCAACCAGGTGGTCTACACTTACCAACATGGCTAAGTTCAGTTGTCAATAGCTGCATGGACCTGTGCCATGTTGATTCCGATATTAATATAAGTGTCACTTAAAATATTTATAATCCTAAACTGAATTAGTCCCTTTTCAATGAAGTGATTTATTGAAACTGGTATTTATATTTGTTTGATAAATATTTGAGTCTGTAGACGAATAGAAAGAGACAACTATCTATCATATTTGAGACCAATTAATTATTTTTACACATTGAAATTATGAATCGGTCATTGCGTATAAACAACGGTCTCTTTTATTCTAATTGAAAAATCGTACAATGTGCTCATTGGTGGCTAGCTTCGTGAGGAAATTCTCGGAGTTATATTGAGAACACGTGACCAATAGACTTCACCCCTTTCAGGTATAGGTAGTAACTACCGAAGGCATGTGGGTGGGGTCGCGCAAAATCCTCAGATTTATCAGAGTTAGATATTAACACCGTTGGATACCGGCCTAGTGGTCCAGAGACTAGGCATTCGTGCGCAAGACTGAAAGTCCTGGGTTTGAATCTTGTCAGTATCAGGAGTCATGGATACACACTGCTGATGAGTCCCATACCAGAACAAAACGGCCATGCAGTACTCCCAGGTTTCTAATGGTGGTCTAACAATGATTGATTGATGATTTTAATGCTTGAAAAAAATGATCTCCGTAACTCCAGTTGAACCATTAGTTGTTTTCATTTCAGTAATCTTCTTTAGTATATTATGTAACTATGCTGTGTTATTATATTTAATATAATATTAACTAGACCTTTGAATCTGTGCAAAACTATTAGAAAAGGCGTAAATATGTATGTAGTTATTGTGTCGTTTCAACATAATGGGCTGTATTTAATTAGTTTAACTGTTATTGTAACATCTGACTAATTTATTATCTTGGGTTAGAAATACATATATTCAAACACTTGACTTGTATATAAGTGGTCCGATGGTTAGGCGCTCGCGCACAATACCGAAGGTCCTGGGTTCGAATCCTGCGAGGTGCAGAAGTCGTGGATGCGCAGTTGCTGATGAGTCTCATACCAAGACGAAACGGCCATCCATTGCTTCCAAGTTTCTAATGATGGTCTAACAATTATGGAGTGATGATTTCAAATAATACTAATGATATGCACGAACCACATCAAGCATGAAAATAGCTATATATATGTAATTAACAATGCTAAATCTTCATAATATTTTACTGCTGGTAATTTTTCGTTTCCAGAAACACATTATAGACTTGTTTGCAGAATTTGAAAACATATCAGGTGGTAACTTTATCTTATCACCTCAATTTCTTCCTCTTTGTAAAGATGAAAGTTTTGTTCACCTGTTCTAAGATGATAACAGCAGTTACATAAGCTTCAAAAATATTCACTGACGCTATGAGTAATTCTTAGTATTATATTTAATTTTAACTGTTTTTTTATTCAAATGAAGCAAAAATTTTTCAACACTAATTTCACGATTACCTGATTTCCCCTGTTTTCCCCTTTTACAAGAGATCTGACATCTTTTAAGTATTCTGAAATTGAGGATACTTCATTGTCCTAATATTCTTCTGTGTTGTATGTAAATTGTAATGGTTGAATAAATTAATGCCACATAAACCAAATACTGCCTTATTACTAGCAATGAATTTCATTTTTACAAATAATCAACCACTTTTCATCAGTGTATTAAGTTCTTTCTATTCACGTAAACGTTTTTTTTGTACGGAAACCATCACTGTCCAAATATCTCCTACATCAAAGGGTCATAAACTGCCTGTTAGAAATTTATATCAACTATATAAAACATTGGAGGCTGTGAATATCACATGGAATATAAATGTTTCAGATTAAAACATAAGTTTTAGTATGTTTGTCATAGGAGTAGTGGAGGATTTCGGTTGGCCTATGTACTCTGGAATTAAAGGATACCTGGATCACTCTGAAACTGACGCTTATGTTATGTACGCGATAACGACGGCTGTCACACAACACTACAATTATTAGAAGATAATGAAGGAATAAGACGAAATTTAAGAATAGCGTCAAATGTTGCAACGTAGCTTATAAAATAATAAACGCATGAAATTAAAACACTGAAAATTTGCTAGCTAAAATTATTACTAGCCATTTAAAAAAACGATGCGAAGAACATCATTAAAGAAAAGTTAGTCATTCAGTCAGTAACAACGTAGAATTTCGTACCTACGTACATCAGTTCACGTAACCACACCACACTAGCCCAGAGAGATTGAGTTGTCAATTCAAAATCACATAGTAGTAGAGGTAGTAGAAGTATTAGCAATAATCAGAAAGATTAATGATCGAATATGTCATTGGAGATGTACACCCCAGAGGAATCAATTAAAACGGTCATGAGGAGGAATTCAGTCAATTAGGATTTAAGAGAACACAAAGAATCGATGCACCTGCGCCATTACAAACAGTTTTGCTCCATGTCATTCAAGGTCTCTCTCTACATTAGAGAAAAAGTACTCATCGTTAACGTTACTAGTAAGACTTAAGGATGATTAACAAATATTATATCATTTCGTGATCACCTTGGCGTTAATTTATTTAAGAACGCGCTTGATTGTTAGTTCATCCAATTTCCCGACAGTAGCTGCTACCTTGACGTGGTGGTCGGCTTGCCTATCGTGATGACCCAACCGAGCTATGCTGGCTGGCACATATGTTTCGGCAGTTCCTACCATGCCAGGCTGGTCGATTGGCGATCGATGAGACTAAAAGCAGCTACCTAAGTTCTGAGGGCGAAGTCTTACTGCAGACTGCTGAAGGGTGTAGCAGTATAGTGTTTTCTCGGACAACCAGCATCTGCAGCAATGCTGCCTTCTCATAAGGAGGGAAGGGTTCGAAAATTTCGGCCCTAAAAATGTCACACTTCCCCTAACTCACGGATTTCCGTCTCCTTGGGTAAGGGTGCCCACTAAGGGCCTTTAAGAACGGAGCTAATCCTCAAAAAACATTTCATAAAAGGCCGTGCGTGACCGGCCTCAAGCAGTTGTCCCTTGGGCTCTGCGGTCACGCACCAACACTAATCCATCTTCCTTTTCAGGTCCCTCAAGAAACAACCTTCCACGGTGTGGGCAGCCGGGAAGTGACAACCGCCCCACATACCCGTACCAGCACGCGAGACCAAATTGGTCAAAATCAAATCCTTCCTACATTCCCTAATACCTCTCTTCTCTCTACAACTAACTCTACTCACAGTCCCTTTTCTCACTGCACCGCTAATGCAGACGAAGCGAGATCACGAAACGTCGTTCCTGGTCTCTTGAAACCCCGTTCTAGACTACATATTGGAGCCTTTAATGTACGGACATTGTGTCAAATAGGGCAACAGGCATCATTAGCTAGGACTTTAGAAACTCGTGCCATCGATGTAGCTTGCGTCTCGGAAACGCGCATACAGGATCCTAGTAAAGTCATTAACCTGATTCCACCTTGTCAAATAAAGAAGCAGCTCGATTTACTCTTCGTGTATCCGGTAGCCCTGATTCTGCTTCCAGGGGTCTTGCTGGCGTAGGCATAGCGTTGAGTCCTAGGGCAGAATTATCTCTCCTAGATTGGATCCCAGTAGATAGTCGTTTGTGCGCTGTCCGACTAAACGGGACAGTAAGGACTCGTAAGGATAGGGACACTCGCCGTTGCCTCTTCGTCATATCTGCCTATGCCCCCACTGACTGCAGTGCAGACGAGGTTAAAGGATGAGTTTTACAGAAAGCTTTCGGACCTCCTCCAAAAAGCTAAGCGCTCTGACATAGTAATAATGGCTGGTGACTTTAATGCTCAAGTAGGTAGACTAAGTGAGCAGGAGAGACACCTAGGCTGGATGTTATGGTGTAGCGACTGAGAGAACAGATAATGGCGACCGTCTGTTGCAACTGTGCTCAGATAACCGCTTATTCTTAGCACACACCAACTTTAGGCATAAGGAAAGCATCTGTTGACCTGGCGACCTCCAAAGTCGTCTCAACGTTGGACTCAACTAGATCACATCGCCATCAGCCACCGATGGAGGGGTTCGATAGAAGACTGTCGCTCGTTCTGGAGCACATGTTTGGATTCAGATCATGCTCTAGTGCGAGCTCGTATCTGTTTAAGGCTTACTGGACGTAGGAAAGACACCGTAAGAAAGCCTCTTAGGGTTTTACTTAATGATAATCAAACCAAGAAAATATTTCAGGAGCTACTAGAAAGAGAGTTAAGCAACCATGCAAGCGATTCCCATCCAGAAGCAGGTTGGTATGATATCAAAAAGGCTGTGGAAACAGCAGTGATATCTGCTAGTAAGGTAAACCATGAGGCTAGGATGAAGCCGTGGATTTCAGCCGCATCCACCGAACTGATGGATGCTCGAAAACGCATCCCACCTGACTCTGAGCATGATTAAGAGCGTAGTCAGCTTAGGCGCAGCTAGATTGACTGAGATCTTAGGTAAAATCTGGGAACTGGACGTAATCCCATCCGACTGGTCTCAATCCTTGATTGTCCCAATCTATAAGAAAGGACAAAAGTCTTCTTGTGACAATCACAGAGGAATAAGTCTAACTAATATAGTATCTAAAATATTGGCCTCAATAATACTTCGACGCTTAACGAAAGCTCGTGAAGAGCAGACTCGAGAAAACCAGTCTGGTTTTCGACCTGGGCGTGGCTGTATACACCACGTCTGCAACATAGACACACATTTAGGTGTCCTACGATAGTTGTTTTCCTGGACCTAGAAGCGGCATTTGACTCTGTTGATCGTGAGGTTCTGTGGCAGTGTCTGTCATTGAAAGGTGTACCGAAGAAGTACATTAACCTTATACAAGCTCTTTACTCGAACACCACTGGTCGGGTGAGGGCTTATGGCGAACTGTCACCGGAATTCTCTACATCAAGTGGTGTCCGTCAGGGATGTCCAATTTCTCCATTCTTGTTTAATTTTATCATAGACATGCTCCTAGAGTTAACATTATCCTCGTCTGAATTTTCAGGAGTAGACCTTCTTCCAGGTGGCTCGCTTATTGACTTAGAATATGCCGATGACATAGTCCTACTTGGTGAAGACGCTGACAAAATGCAGAGTCTTCTGACTACCCTAAGCAACAATGCAAGCATGTTCGGGATGCGGTTTTCCCCCTCGAAATGCAAAATGTTTGCTTCAAGACTGGGTTGCATCGGCACCTGAACTAGTGATAGGGAGTGAAGTAGTCGAACGTGTAGACCGATTCACTTATCTTGGGAGTCTCATCAGTGCCGATGGCCTGGTGACTGACGAAATCTCAGCACGGATACAGAAGGCTCGATTGGCTTTTGCCAACCTGCGTCACTTATGGCGTAGGCGAGATATCCGTTTGCTGACTAAAGGACGAGTGTACTGCGCAGTAGTTCGCTCCGTCTTACTTTATGGCTGTGAAACATGGGCCGTTAAGAGTAGAAGATGTTCGTAGGTTACTAGTATTCGATCATAGATGTTTAAGAAGCATTGCTCGTATATCGTGGGACAGCCGAGTGAGCAACGCTGTTATTAGGAATCGGGTGCTAGGTAAGAATGGCAGATCAATCGATGAAGTATTGAAACTTCACCAGTTGAGGTGGTTGGGACATGTGTTGCGTATGCCGAACCACCGACTGCCTCGTCGAGCCTTGTTTTGTAGTGTGGGAATAGGTTGGAAGAAAGTTAGGGGCGGCCAAACCAAAACATGGCAGAAATCCATGAAGTCACTGATGTGGTATGGCAACATGAACTGATGTACTTATGTACAAAGTTCTACGTTGCATCTGACTGACTGACTGACTCTATCCCAATTTATTTACGAGAAACTCCTAACAAGATTGAAAGTCGTTCTGACAATCTTTTTTTTTGTGTTTTTCAGATCATGCACATTACGTTACTGAAATTCGTTAAATTTTTACTGAATATTCTATTTTATATTCCATTCATATCTTAAAAACAACCCTGTTCTCTTTGTGTTTTTTTAGTTATCAAGTATACGCAGTGCTGCATCTCATAGACGTGCAATGAAATTATTTGAAGAAGCTGAAAAAACGTAGACAAAGTGAAAATTTTAGTAGTTGTAGTAGTAGCAATATGCAAATCTTGTCCACTTCATCAACACCTGTATCAACTGTAGAAGTAAAAAAGTGCATAGTCAGAATTGGCGAATAATACTAACAACAACAACAGATTGATGAATTCTGATATACATCCTCAGGTCAATTTCAACTTCATCATCATCCGGTCCTGTGTTAACACCAGCTGTTGTTCCTGTCATGTCAGCACAAACGTTTGATTCCTGGGAAAATTTCAGCTAAAAGGTGTGTCCTCCTATGACAGGAACAAACAGCTGTGTTAACACAGGACCGGATGATGATGAAGTTGAATTGACCTGAGGATGTATATCAGAATTCATCAATCTGTTGTTGTTGTTAGTATTATTCGCCAATTCTGAACTATGCACTTTTTTACTTCTTACAGATGATACAGGTGTTGATGAAGTGGACAAGATTTGCATATTGCTACTACTACAACTACTAAAATTTTCACTTTGTCTACGTTTTTCAGCTTCTTCAAATAATTTCATTGCACGTCTATGAGATGCAGCACTGCGTATACTTGATAACTAAAAAAACACAAAGAAAACAGGGTTGTTTTTAAGATATGAATGGAATATAAAATAGAATATTCAGTAAAAATTTAACGAATTTCAAGTACGTAATGTGCATGATCTGAAAAACACAAAAAAAAAGTTTGTCAGAACGACTTTCAGTCTTGTTAGGAGTTTCTCGTAAATAAATTGGGATGAGTCAGTCAGTCAGTCAGATGCAACGTAGAACTTTGTACATAAGTACATCAGTTCATGTTGCCATACCACATCAGTGACTTCATGGATTTCTGCCATGTTTTGGTTTGGCCGCCCCTAACTTTCTTCCAACCTATTCCCACACTATAAAACAAGGCTCGACGAGGCAGTCGGTGGTTCGGCATACGCAACACATGTCCCAACCACCTCAACTGGTGAAGTTTCAATACTTCATCGATTGATCTGCCATTCTTACCTAGCACCCGATTCCTAATAACAGCGTTGCTCACTCGGCTGTCCCACGATATACGAGCAATGCTTCTTAAACATCTATGATCGAATACTAGTAACCTACGAACATCTTCTACTCTTAACGGCCATGTTTCACAGCCATAAAGTAAGACGGAGCGAACTACTGCGCAGTACACTCGTCCTTTAGTCAGCAAACGGATATCTCGCCTACGCCATAAGTGACGCAGGTTGGCAAAAGCCAATCGAGCCTTCTGTATCCGTGCTGAGATTTCGTCAGTCACCAGGCCATCGGCACTGATGAGACTCCCAAGATAAGTGAATCGGTCTACACGTTCGACTACTTCACTCCCTATCACTAGTTCAGGTGCCGATGCAACCCAGTCTTGAAGCAACATTTTGCATTTCGAGGGGGAAAACCGCATCCCGAACATGCTTGCATTGTTGCTTAGGGTAGTCAGAAGACTCTGCATTTTGTCAGCGTCTTCACCAAGTAGGACTATGTCATCGGCATATTCTAAGTCAATAAGCGAGCCACCTGGAAGAAGGTCTACTCCTGAAAATTCAGACGAGGATAATGTTAACTCTAGGAGCATGTCTATGATAAAATTAAACAAGAATGGAGAAATTGGACATCCCTGACGGACACCACTTGATGTAGAGAATTCCGGTGACAGTTCGCCATAAGCCCTCACCCGACCAGTGGTGTTCGAGTAAAGAGCTTGTATAAGGTTAATGTACTTCTGTGGTACACCTTTCAATGACAGACACTGCCACAGAACCTTACGATCAACAGAGTCAAATGCCGCCTTAAGGTCTAGGAAAACAACTATTGTAGGACGCCTAAATGTGTGTCTATGTTCCAGGACCTGTCTGAGTGTGAAGACGTGGTCTATACAGCCACGTCCAGGTCGAAAACCAGACTGGTTTTCTCGAGTCTGCTCTTCACGAGCTTTCGTTAAGCGTCGAAGTATTATTGAGGCCAATATTTTAGATACTATATTAGTTAGACTTATTCCTCTGTGATTGTCACAAGAAGACTTTTGTCCTTTCTTATAGATTGGGACAATCAAGGATTGAGACCAGTCGGATGGGATTACGTCCAGTTCCCAGATTTTACCTAAGATCTCAGTCAATCTAGCTGCGCCTAAGCTGACTACGCTCTTAATCATGCTCAGAGTCAGGTGGGATGCGTTTTCGAGCATCCATCAGTTCGGTGGATGCGGCTGAAATCCACGGCTTCATCCTAGCCTCATGGTTTACCTTACTAGCAGATATCACTGCTGTTTCCACAGCCTTTTTGATATCATACCAACCTGCTTCTGGATGGGAATCGCTTGCATGGTTGCTTAACTCTCTTTCTAGTAGCTCCTGAAATATTTTCTTGGTTTGATTATCATTAAGTAAAACCCTAAGAGGCTTTCTTACGGTGTCTTTCCTACGTCCAGTAAGCCTTAAACAGATACGAGCTCGCACTAGAGCATGATCTGAATCCAAACATGTGCTCCAGAACGAGCGACAGTCTTCTATCGAACCCCTCCATCGGTGGCTGATGGCGATGTGATCTAGTTGAGTCCAACGTTGAGACGACTTTAGAGGTCGCCAGGTCAACAGATGCTTTTCCTTATGCCTAAAGTTGGTGTTTGCTAAGAATAAGCGGTTATCTGAGCACAGTTGCAACAGACGGTCGCCATTATCTGTTCTCTCAGTCGCTACACCATAACATCCACCTAGGTGTCTCTCCTGCTCACTTAGTTTACCTACTTGAGCATTAAAGTCACCAGCCATTATTACTATGTCAGAGCGCTTAGCTTTTTGGAGGAGGTCCGAAAGCTTTCTGTAAAACTCATCTTTAACCTCGTCTGCACTGCAGTCAGTGGGGGCATAGGCAGATATGACGAAGAGGCAACGGCGAGTGTCCCTATCCTTACGAGTCCTTACTGTCCCGTTTAGTCGGACAGCGCACAAACGACTATCTACTGGGATCCAGTCTAGGAGAGATAATTCTGCCCTAGGACTCAACGCTATGCCTACGCCAGCAAGACCCCTGGAAGCAGCATCAGGGCTACCGGATACACGAAGAGTAAATCGAGCTGCTTCTTTATTTTGACAAGGTGGAATCAGGTTAATGACTTTACTAGGATCCTGTATGCGCGTTTCCGAGACGCAGCATACATCGATTGCACGAGTTTCTAAAGTCCTAGCTAATGATGCCTGTTGCCCTATTTGACACAATGTCCGTACATTAAAGGCTCCAATATGTAGTCTAGAACGGGGTTTCAAGAGACCAGGAACGACGTTTCGTGATCTCGCTTCGTCTGCATTAGCGGTGCAGTGAGAAAAGGGAGTGTGAGTAGAGTTAGTTGTAGAGAGAAGAGAGGTATGCTTTGGTGTAGGAAGGATTTGATTTTGACCAATTTGGTCTCGCGTGCTGTTACGGGTATGAGGGCGGTTGTCACTTCCCGGCTGCCCACACCGTGGAAGGTTGTTTCTTGAGGGACCTGAAAAGGAAGATGGATTAGTGTTGGTGCGTGACCGCAGAGCCCAAGGGACAACTGCTTGAGGCCGGTCACGCACGGCCTTTTTATGAAACGTTTTTTGAGGATTAGCTCCGTTCTTAAAGGCCCTTAGTGGGCACCCTTACCCAAGGAGACGGAAATCCGTGAGTTAGGGGGAGTGTGACATTTTTAGGGCCGACCTTTTCTAACCCTTCCTTCCTTTTGAGAAGGCAGCATCGCTGCAGATGCTGGTTGTCCGAGGGAAACACCTTACTGTTGTCACACCCCTCTGCAGTCAGCAGTACGACTTCGCCCTCAGACCTTGGGTAGCTGCTTTTAGTCTCATCGTTCTCCAATCGACCAGCCTGGCATGGTAGGACCTGCAGGAACATATGTTCCAGCCAGTATAGCTCGGTTGGGTCATCACGATAGGCAAGCCCGACCACCACGTCAAGGTAGCAGCTTCGGTCGGGTAATTGGGATGAACTAACAATCAAGCGCGTTCTTAAATAAATTAACGCCAAGGTGATCACGAATTTATATAACTTGTGTTAATCATCCTTAATTCTTACTAGTAACGTTACCGATGAGTACTTTTTCTCTAATGTAGAGATCTTGAATGACATGGCGCAAAACTGTTTGTAATGGCGCAGGTGTATCCATTCTTTGTGTTCTCTTAAATCCTAATTGACTGAATTCCTCCTCATGACCGTTTTAATTGATTCCTCTGGGGTACATATCTCGAATGATATATTCGATCATTAATCTTTTTGATTGCTGTTAATACTTCTACTAACTCTACTATTATGGGATTTTGAATTGACAACTCAATCTCTCTGGGCTAGTGTGGTGTGGTTACGTGAATTGATGTACGTAGGTACGAAGTTCTACGTTGTTACTGACTGAATGACTAACTTTTCTTTAATGTGATTTTCGCATCATTTTTATCAATGGCTATTAATAATTTTAGCCAGTAAATTTTCAGTGTTTCAATTTCATGCGTTTATTACCAGATGCGCTGGGTTGTAACATTTGACGCTATTTCGCTTGAATATCAAGTTTTTTTTTCTTAAATTCTATCTTCTACCTTTATAATCTTCTAACTATTGTAGTCTTGTGTGTGACAGCTGTTATCGTTATCGCGTCCATAACAGAAGTGTAAGTATCAGAGTGATTCGGGTATCCTTTAATTCCAGAGTATCATAGGCCAACCGAAATCCTCCACTACTCCTATGACAAACATAATCTTTTTATCAAGATCTAACACTTATGTTTTAATCCGTAACATTTATATTCCATGTGTTAGTCATTACCTACAGTGTGTAATATGGTTGATACAAATTTATGACCTCGTGATGTAGGAGGTATTTGGACAGTGATGGTTTCCGTACAAAAAAAAAACGTTCACGTGAACAGAACTTAATACATTGATTAAAAGTGGTTGATTATTTGTAAAAATGAGATTCACTGCTAGTAATCAGGCAGTATTTGATTTATGTGGCATTAACTTATTCAACCATTACAATTTACATACAACACAGAAGAACATTAGGACAATGAAGTATCCCGAATTTCATAATAATTAAAAGATGTCAGATTTTTGTACAAGAGGGAAACAGGGGAAATCAGGTAATCGTGAAATTTATATTAAAAAAATTTTGCTTCATTTGAATAAAAAAAACAGTTAAAATTAAATATAATACTAAGAATTACTCATAGCGTCAATGAATATTTTTGAAGCTTATGTGACTGCGCTGTTAACATCGTAGAACAGGTGAACAAAACTTTCATCTTTACAAAGAGGAAAATATTGAGGTGATAAGATAAAGTTACCGCCTGCAAACAAATCTATAATGTGTTTTGGAAGACGAAAAATTACCAGCAGTAAAATGTTATCAAGATTTAGTTAGCCTTATCAAATGAATATGTATACATCCATGTTCATTCGTCTAGATCATTATTGTATTTATATACAAGTTAAATGTTTCAATAATTTATTTTGCCAGTTAACTCTGATTGGCTTTCCTTTAAACAAGTGTTAATGTATTATGTATTTCTAATTTAAGATAACCAATTTGGAAATAACAAATTAGTCAAATATTGCAATCATAGTTAAACTAATTAAATACAGTCTATTGCCTTTAAACAATACGATAACCACCTATCTAGTTACGCCGTATTCTAATATTTTTGTCACAAATTCAAAGGTCTAGTTGATATTATATATTAAATACAATAGCACAATATACATAAAAATCTTAACGGTTACATAACAATCTAAAGAAGATTACGAAAATGAAAACAACTAATGGTTCAACTACAGTTATGGAGATCATTTTTTACACACATTGAAATCATCAATCAATCATTGTTAGACCACCATTATAAACCTGGAAGTACTGCATGGCTGTTTCGTCTTAGTATGGAACTCATCAGCAGTGTGTATCCACGACTACTGCTAATCACAAGATTGAAATTCAGGACCTTCAGTCTTGTGCACGAATGCCTAGTCTCTGGACCACTAGGCCGGCATCCAATGGTGCTAATATTTAACTCTGATAAGTCTAAGGATTTTGCGCGACTTTTCCCATATGTCTTCGATAGTTACTGCCTACACCTGAAAGGGGTGAACTCTATTGGTCATGTGTTCTCAATATAACTCCGAGAATTTCCTCACGAAGCTAGCCACCAATGAGCACATTGTACGATTTTTCAATTAGAATTATGGAGATCATTGTTTATACGCAATGACTGATTCATAATTTCAATGTGTAAAAATAATTAATTGGTCTCAAATATGATAGACAGTTATCTATTTCTATTCGTCTACAGACTCAAATATTTATCAAGCAACTATAAATACCAGTTTCAATAAATGATTTCATTGAAAAGGGACTAATTCAGTTTAGGATTATAAACATTTGAAGTGACATTTATATAACTATCGGAATCAACATGGCACAGATCCATGAAGTCATTGATAACTAAACTTAGCCATGTTGGTAAGTGTAGACCACCTGGTTGGGGCCCGCGAGATAATATTAATCGATGGTTAGAGACCTTGAATGACATGCCTCTAAATCGTTCGCAATTGCTCAAGTGCAACTATTATTTGCCTTCTCTCAAATTTTAATCCTCTAGATTCTTCATCACCTTTATCTTTCTCTCCTCAATTCTACTTTATTGAATTATACTTCTTGAACAATATCGTCGAACCCTAATATCTCAGATTACTTGCTAATACTTCTACTACCTCTAATACTATGGGATTTGAAGTGACAAAGGCATCTGTCTGTGTTAATGTGATGTGGCAACTTGAACTGATGTACGTACGTACGAAGTTCTGTGTTGTAACTGACTGACAACACTTTATTGAAGGTGGTAATAGTCGCTCAGTTGAGAAGACAATAGTATGAATTACTAACATTACTGTTATTATGATTATTATTATGAATGAGTGACTGATACATTCAATGCATAACATACATCAAGCGGACCGGACAATTTCTTTTGTACTACAAATAAAACTAATTATCAAATTCTCTTTATTCAACTTATGAATTACGGTCTAACACTGATCGATTCATGATTTCAAATGTATAACTTAACAAATTTCACAACTCCTTAATGCAATTACATGTGCTCACTAGTGACTAGCTCCGTGAGGAATCTTTTCCGAGTTCTAGTGGGAAGTCGTGACCAGTGAATTTCAAAATGTTCGAGTGTAGACAGCTACTGCCGAAGACAGTGTATGAGGTTGCGCAAGACCGTCAATCGGTCGAAGCTAGACCGAAGGTCCTGGGATCGAATCCTACGAGGTGTGGGAGTCGTCGATGAGCACTGCTGAGTCCCATACCAGGACGAAACGGCAGTCCAGGCTTCTAATGATGGTCTAACATTGATCGATTCACGTTTTCAAATTATGATTATGTTTACACTTAAAAGATACACTGGTAAAGTTCACATCGTTTTGTCAAATATTCTAATATAATGATTAGAAAAAACAAACAGACCAACTAACAATAAGATCAGTGTGAATAAAAAAACCGAGGAGGGATATCAAATTTATAATATTGTTATATAAAATCAGAATGTATATCTTGAAAAGAGTATATATGATAAGTTAATAAATAAATTAGCTTCAGTGAACGATACTGAACATACACAGATATACGCACACACATACATGCACACATACCAAGCATCCATACATTAATAAATCAAAAAACAACCACACCCACTGAAGACAATGAAGAGCTAGAAGTAACACAGCAGGACGTATGTATTATACCTTACACAAAACATGCATCAATAAATGTAGGAATGAAATAGCATAAACGCCTACATTTCATTTGAGAATTCCCTTAGTACAACAACAGAATGTATAAAGATATATTCGTATAAATTTTATATTATCATTTCGTTTCATTATCTACATTCGTGACTTGTCTTTGAAAGAGAAAAAAAAATAGAATGAAGGCATCATTAAAGACTCTTCTCTGAATGCAGTAAATGGTATTTGACAATTGCGAGGAACTGATAATGTTGATAAAACCGGGTGTATAAATCAAACTGGTTTCGAACCTGGAGTATAGTGTAACTAAAAGTTGAATGGTTCGAGGAAAAATTCATTTTATCAGTGACAAATCTTTATAACAGATAATATGATGTAGTATGATAAAATTTTAATTTATGATCAATTCCCATAATCCTTATATCATTCACTTTGCTTAAAAATCATAGTGGAGTGCACAGTCCTATAGAGTATTCACTATGAACATAAATGAATTTTAATTCATTCAAAGCTCTTCAGAGTTGTGTTTCAGAAATTTATGACAGAATTTTGGTTAAATGTTTCCCAGTTTGATCATTGTTTTTCAGATTCGAAATAGAAATGTGGTGAAATAGAGAGAAGTAATAGTATTTTTTTTTAGATACAGAAAGAAAATGGGATGGATTATTTGTTGAAACGGTAAGTGATAAAGATAATTGAGAACAGTGATTTTATGCCTCAAGCGAACACTTCTGAAACATGGGATAAAATCATCTAAGTTGAATGGGGATGTTAGATCCACAGAACTCGCTTAATAAATTTTATTTTGGATTTGTTTCATGGACCGATCAGTTGACCTTGAGATCACATGTCCCACCAGAAAAATCCTTGGCTGTGACTGGTTACTGTGTCATTTTAGTGTACTATTTTCGTGACTGTCCAAAAGACGTCTCTATAGAGTATAAATAAACGCAATGTGAGTGCCTGGATTCATGGTGTGCTGGCTGAATGCACTTTCTACGCTATATCAAGACTTCTTGCTGGTACAGTTGAGTCAAAGGATCACAGTAGCCTACCTGGACGCTGGTTCATTGTTTGTTCTCGTTATTCAACTAAGGTGAACCCGTAATAGTTTAGTAATACATAGAGACGAGCGTAACAATATGTTCACAAAAGAAAACAATGAAATAATGGTGGAAAATTGTAGCTCAGGTGGATAGCTTCGATATAGTTTCGTTCTCACAACAGGAAGGATAAATATCAAGTCAAGTCAACAACAACATAGAACTTCGTACGTATGTACGTACATCAGTTCAATTCGTTATACTACATTAGCACACAGATGCACTTGTCACTTCAAACCCCATAGTAGTAGAAGTATTAGAAGTAATCGGAGATTTTAAGGTTCGAAGATATTATTTAAGAAGTAGATTCTAGTAAAATTAACTTGAAAAGATAAAGGTCATATATATTGACACCTGTGTGAGTGGAAATATTGAAACACCTCACTTCTAAATGAAGTCTATGCTGATGACATAGTAAAGGAGGACAATGACAGCTGAGCATCTTAAACTATCCAGTTCAGAGAGAAAAAACAACCACCCAACAAGAATCAAACATTCATTTCCTTAAAAAATAACCTAATGTGATCATAACAACTTCTCTATGATTGAGTTAGCCAATAAATAATGAAGAAGATTATATTGAATTATAACCAAATTTCTAAGAAATATGAACTGAATAGAGTTAATTTAATTCAACAGATCAGCAAAAATCAATTAGACTTAATGCAAATCAAAAAGCTTACATGTATGGGTCTTAAATAATTATGGGATTACAATCAACTAATTACAAAACTCAAAAGATTCATATAGAACAGCATGGATTCGTGAAGAATGATTTTACAACGTTACAAAAGGAATTATTTACAACTGTTAATTACAAAATCATTATAATACTACTACTACTACTACTAATACTACTACTAGTGTAGTGAAGGAGAATACAGGTGAGGACAACCGAATTGTGTTTAACGAAAATCACAGAGTTACTCAGTAAAATAGGAAAACCATATCGTAAATCGTTAATTTGCAAATCTTCAATCCATCATCAATCCATTGTCTGACAGTTCACTCACTATTCATGCGTTTCATACAAATTCCATTGTGTTCCCACTCTTCCTTTCTTGATCTTCCCCCATCTTCTGCTGCCAGACATTACGTTTACACTCGCGTCATATACTACTTATAAGTAGCGCGCACCACACTAGTACTACTACTACTACTACTACTACTACTACTAATAATAATAATAATAATAATAATAATAATAATAATAATAAGAGGAATTGAAAACAACAACAAAAAAACTTACTTCAGGCATTTCAGAACTAGGTGAATTTGGTAAAGCTGAATCAGTATTATCTAAATCCAATGGTAATGCACTAGAAGGCAACGAGTTCGGTTTTCTTGAACGATTCGATCGCCAAAATGTTGGAGTATTATTATTGTTACTATCATGATCATTATTATTATTGATTGTTCGACTAGTGTCATTACCGCCGCTATCAATGATAAATTCTTTATCCGATTCATAATCTTCATCGTAAATCATCTCTTCATCGCCTGTAATATTGCCATCCAAATGATTATAATAAAATGAATCATATTCCATAGTTGATCTACTACTACTACTGGTTGTACCAATCATATTGTTATGAGTATGATTAAGATTATTATTATTATTATTATTATTATTATTATTATTAGTATTACTATTATTCATATTGTTAATTGATATTGTCATTGTTCGATCTGATTGAATATTTCGATTCATTTTATTATTCAAAACTTCTTTCGATGATATACATGTAATAGAATGATGAGTAGTATTTAAAGGTGTGATTAATTTATTAATATTATTATATTCTATATTATAATTTTCCATATTTGTATCAATATTATGCAATAATTGATTTAGCATTGGACGTGTCCGACCACTTTGACGTACTAGAGTAGCTCGAGTTGGTAATAATGAAGCAGGATATGTGGAATCTGTGAGTAAGGAAAAAGTAAAGAGAAAAAAACTAAAAGAGGGTCAACAGATCAAGTAAATAAGTACATATATAGAGAGAGAATAGTAAAACAGAAAATTATGCATTGATGAACATCACTTATAATATTTTGTTAGATATCGAGTAAATTGAAATTATGAATATTTATTGTGTGTTAAAATTCATCATACTTCACTTATATTTTGATTGAAACTAAGCTTAAATGATTGACCTCGTACTTAGAGATATGAGAGAAACACACTTTTAACTCGAGGGTTAATCATATTAGCCATTGGTTCAAAAAAAAAATAGAAGTAGGTGGAACAGTTGTTTGAACATGGGACTCATTTTAATAATCATTAAAAATCCACCCATTTGAACTTTAAAACCAAAAAAAACCGATAAAAACGATCATCCATCATAAATCAGTTGTACTAAGCAAATTTACTTTTGATTAAGGTTAATGTAAATTGATTAGCCCCGAAGAGAAGAGATGTCATCATAATTAAATGATCCTTCATCAACAGTTTAGACTGTGGAGAGAGTCTGTAAGTATTAATTACACAGTTTGTGAACATGACAGTAAACAATACTTTACTTCACTTTACTCACACTATAATATGTGAGGAAGATTTATCAAGCATATTATACATAGATTAATTACACTTCTGTAACATAAAGTACATGATGAAATGTCTTCCATGCGAAAATCACAATCGCTGAAAAGCATATTGATAAAATTAGTTCGTCAAACTGATGATCTCCTCAGTCGAATCAAGCTTAGTTAAAGAAACCTTATCATCCTTGCTTCTCACCAACAACATAAATTTTCCAAAGTTTACAAAACTTCATAGTCGAAGTCGATCTACTAGAAGAACTCATCCATTTATGTTTTAACAACGTATTTGCAATTCAACAATAAAATCTATGAACAAACGGAAGGAACACCACCAATAAGATCACCAATATCAGGACTTATCGAATAAGTCGTGATGCAGAGACCAGAAGCATCGATTTTACCAGTGAAGATACATTGGTCATCATTAAAAGGAACGAGCTAGAGAACACCTACTCTATCGGATCAACAGCGTCCTTGATGGCATGAAATTCACAATGGTAAAGGATTACGTGGTTATGAAGATTATTAAGCTACACATTTGAAATCATGAATCAATCAATGTTAGACCACCATTAGTAACCTGAAAGCACTGAATAGCCGTTTCGTCCTGGTATGCGACTCATCAACAGTGCGCATCCACGACTCAGGTACCTAGCAGGATCCGAACAAAGGACCTTCTATGTTGCGCGCGAACGCTTAACCTCTGGACCACTGAGCCGGAATCTAAGTGTGTCTAACTTTGATTAATTCATGGAGTTGTGCAACCGTCTACAGTAGTTACTATCTACACCCTAACAGGCTGATCAAATTTAGACATTAACACCGTTAGATACCGGCTCAGTGGTGCAGGGTTAGGCATCCGCGCGCAAGGCCGGAGGTCCTGGGTTCGAATCCTACGAGGTACAGGTAACGTGCATTCGCACTGCTGATGAGTCCCATACCAGGACGAAGCGCCATCCAGTGCTTCCAGGTTTCTAATGGTGGTCTAACATTGATCAATTCTTGATTTCAAATGGTAAAGGGGTCAAACAACAAACTACCATCATCAGAATTGACATAGGAAAACTGAGGACTCAGGTATTTTCGAAACTGACCTACACAACCCAAGAACTCACAATATCAACTGCGTACAAACTTTGTTCAAGAGAACGAAAACGCACTGTGGCACATATGAAGCACAAACAAAGAGAATAAATATATACTATGATCATCATCGAAGTAGAAGGATTTACACCAATTAAGTTATGCGATACACACTAAACAAAATGTTTAATATATGTTATGAAAATGAATTTCAAACGAGTTCAATTCAATCTTTTTAAAACTATGCAATTACTTAGATGGGAGCTTGGAATAAATTGATCTTGTGATGTCCAAAGTATGGAATGATCTGACTGACGAATCGGTGCTAAACGGGGTTTACGGCGTGGGGTATTGAAAGGGCTTGGTCCTTCATTGTTCGACCCGGACTTAGCCATACTGGGGGGAGAACGTAGAGGACACAGTTTGGTTAATTCTATAGGGGATGAATCTAAAGATAACTGTAAACAAAAGTTGAAGAGTATTTTAGTTATTTTGATTAAACTAACTAAATACAAACAATGTAGATATCATATCATATAAAATATTCAACACAAAGCATAAGGTAATCAAAATAAAACACATGAATATGAAGGAGATTATCAAGGTTATTAGGTAAAATGACAAGTTATTACCTACTTCAGTATAGCTTTAGAGCTGCTTGTAAGGAGAATTCAAAAACAGCATTGTCATTAAAACCTCCAAATAGAACTTTTGTTTGATTAGGCTTCATCAGTAGTATCGCATACATTTTAACGCTAAAATGCAAGTGATCATCTCCAGAATCTATATACAAAGCACTACTGACTGACAATGCAATAAGCAGACAATACTTTCAACGTATTAAGTAACTGACTATAAACTATGGATCAGACATCAAAATGTCAGTAAGATCATTCGACAGTATAATGTGTGTGTCACAAGCGAAATCCATCATTAATAGCAAACTTACAAATGAATGGAATAACAAATCAATAATGTGTATGAAAGCGTTGTTGAATAGAAAAATGATAAATGAGACTAGATAACTAGGAAACAGATAAATAACTACTATTTCGAAAAACTGTTAGTGACGCTTAGCGGACCTATCAGAAATTAAATATAGTGTTGTTACATAATGACGTAACTTCTAGTGATGATCTTCAGTGTGTAAATGATTAATTATCAACTGAACAGTCGTCTTCCTGTGATTGTACTAGAATGTGTACAGATTATAAACTATTTCAAGTGTTGATTTTTTTCTTATACAAACAACGTGAATAGTTTGATGAAATCTCACTTGTTGACAGTGGAGAAAAAAAACGCGAAATGACAGCATTAAATGTTTATTTTTCTCAATTTTCGTTTTACATCATCATTATACTAAAACAGCCAATTTTATGAATGCAGTACACCAGGCAGGCATCAAGTGGATTTAAAAAAAGAGAATGATCAATAAATATTACGCATTGAAATAGATTTGGAAAATGTCAATCATCAATGTATGTATGTAAAAGCTGCCCCACAGGTGATAAGTACAATGTGAAGAAGGAAATAAAACGTTCATACTTTCCGAGAATCTTATTAAAAAAAAAACATAAAACTTCCTGAAACTAACTACAATTCAACAAATTACTAATTAGATTTTTTATTTTTTTTAAAAAAAATAAAGTCTTCAACAATTAAGAGGAAAATAAAAATAATAAGACTACTACTATTCTACTAATACTACTACTGCTACTACTACTACTATTACTAATGTTACTACTCACAATTTTCGATGATGACGGTGATAAACGACCGGAAGCTGGTAAACTTTGTGTAGAAAATTCGGATAATTGTGATTTAGGCGTGAAATATTTCACTGATGCTTGATTAATCAATTCTGTTTTGATATTATTAAGACTTATAGAATTATGTATAGTTTTGTTAAAATATTCTTGTTGTAGTTGTTGTTGTTGTGATTCGAATTGTGATTGTAATTGTAATTGTTGAGAATTATTATGTTTACCATTGTTGACAATATTGGTACGATGCATTGAATTGGATTTTTTGATGGGAGTATTATAATCCATTTTAACATCATGATTAACATGTTCATTATGATTATTACTATTATTATTATTATTATCAATATCATTATGATTATTATGATTAGTGTTAACCTTGTTACAATGATTATCTTCGAAATTTTTATACAATTGTGGATTGTATCCATGATTGTGATCGGTCAACTATTTATATACAAAAAGAATAAAAATAAAATGATGTTATATTGTTTTAAAGAATTCAGATATAATGATGAACAGCAAAAAATAAAATTGAAGGCATACTAATACACTAGAGGAATTCGCCCCCTGATGCCCTGGTACAGCTGAGAGTAGAAAGGGTTCGTTCTCCCACCATTACAAGCGCTCTCATTTAGCCACGAACTGGGAAGTTCTACCTCACTGCCCACTTGTAGCACAAGTGTTTTCTTTTACGAAATTTAGAGTACGAAAAGCGAATTTCCGGAGCTTAAACCGAATTGGTGGGTATGAAGGACCTATCTCGGGGAGTTGGATAACCCTTATTCCAAGTTACTAGTACAATTTGGTTTGGACAACCGAGCATTATCTCTAGCAAATGCAGTAAATGAGTAGATCGATGTTGATGACACAAATCTACACTTGATTATCGTGTTGTATCATAAAACTATGATAACTTCAAAAAACGAAGTGATTCTGCTCAAGTCTGTATACAGCGGACGGAATATCTTGATGCAGAATATAGAAAAATCAGACAATATTTCTTCTACAGTTGAAATGTCAACAAAAGCAAACTATTCCTATTTTTTTAAGAATAGATTTCTTTGTAGTTAGCAGTAGAATTGAAAACATGTATTTCATTTCATTCGGGACTCACCAAATTGATGTACCCATACTTCAGAGTTCATGTCTACAGTGGGACTCAAACACGATGTCTTTCGTTTCGAATGACCAACGCACCAACATCACTGCGTTACTAAGTCCAAATAGCCACTAGTTTGTGCAACAGATAGGAATTCGTGAAATGTTTGAATTATCTATCCCGTAATTGATTTACGCTGTTAACACATCACAAGTTCCTATTTATATGAACAATAATTCGACTGCAGAAATGAGCGCTACTCATACTCGTATGTGATTTAAAGATGTAACATCACCTGAGTGAAGACTCATAACAAAATGATTAGCCTTCAAAGTCTGTTAGTGGGTACCCAACAGGAACTAAGTAGTCAGTAGTCACAATGTTAGCTAAAAAGGATTATACGACAAAGCGCTTATCCATCTTCATTCGACATTTGTCAGTGTCACCTACAGACATCCAATTCGTATCAAGCAATGATCTATTAATTCAAAAAGCGTTTGTATTTGTTGTGAACTTTATCATTTTCATAAACCATTCAGTTTTATGGAAGATGGCTTAATGTTTGAGAAACGGAGTAGGAGGAGGAGCATCGCAATCTCTTCGTCTTCATATTTAAGACCAACTTCACAGTACAACCACTTAGATATTAATCCTATGAAGTTTACTGCTCAAAGATTAATTAACCTGTTGGCAGAATATGGATAAACAGATTGAGAGATTTTTGAACGGTTGCTCCAACCAAGAAAATTCAACACTCAAGTCCCATCAGTTATATGACTATAACCTGAAGATGTACGCATAACAATCCATGTAGATTTTACAGGTCCAGTAGATGGCATCATATATCCGGTTCTCATTGATGTGTTTCTCAAAATGGTCAGAAAATCTCCTCGTAGTTAAACTAACAACAACGAAACCCTCTAGATGGTAATGGAGATTTTCTCGTGAATGAAATATAATAGTGTCAGTAAGTGGGTCACCGTCTTCTTACCAGCCATTTCCAAGTATTCTGTTGCCCATAGTCCATCACACAAATCCACTCGTCCTTATACCATAATATTGAAGTCAACAATCAAAACGTTCTGTGGACACTTTCAAAACACCGTTATTCAAATCAAAACAATGACAGATTATATAACCTTTAATTAATTGACCAGAACACACTAAATCAGAAACTGCCAGCTTAAATCTTTAAGGTTAGTGAATTATCAATAATCTACCCCATCTAATATTACACAAAAATGGATCAAAACACTCAACGAAATAATTATAGTTAACTCTACATCTCCACATAAACTGCAATGATTCTTCAAAAATGTTACAATCATTTCTAATAAATAATCAAATAGAATATTTTTAGATTCGTCGTTAACAGATAGAATATTGTAAAATATGAAGAAAAAAATATCAAAGTAGTATAAAAATTGATGAGTAGTAGTAGTATTATAATTCATGTTATAATTTTTTTTTGAAAAGTACACATAAATTCTTGACTTGACTTGAATTTCATGAAAAAAAAGAAAAGTTTTTGTTTTTTTGTATCTTTTACAGACGACATTCATTGTTTCCGGGTTTTATTATTTTAAAATAACTACGAGAACAAACAAACAAACACACGAAAAAATTCATCAAATTGAAACATAAATTAGAAAAAATAAAATAACTTATCATCTCATCAACGATTTCTATTTCAACTTCAAAAGTAGCCTAACTCATAGATAGAGTAGTGGTTAGTAGTAGTAGTAGTAGTAATAGTAGTTAGTGTCAGTAGTATGATTTGTATATATATATATATATATATATATATATATATATATATATACAATTTTTTCACCTGAAAGGAATATGATTATACAACAACTACTCCTACACTAAAGAAAAAAAATAAATAGTCATTCAACAACAATCATGATATTTTCTTCTCAAATCTTTAGAGAAATAACACCATATCATATACATTATATAAATAGTCATGTCTACACAGGAAATCAGAAATGACTAAAAGAAGTAGAATTTATTATATATATATATATATATATATATATATATATATATATATCACCATAATTCTTATGAAGAGACTGAATAGAATAAAACAATCACACACACACACACACAAGAAGAAAGAAAAACAACATCATAGATAACAAAAGGGACAGGATATAACCATTAAAAATAATAATAATAATAATAATAATAATAATAAACTCTTATATGAAACGAAAAAACGCATCAAGTAGAAGACAGAGAGAACGAGAGAGAGAAAGAGGAAAAAAAACTTGACTGAAACAAAGATTCAATGAAGTTCATATTATACAACTAAGGGAAAGAATAGAAAATCCCCCAATGAAACTTGGTAATTAATTGTGAACTAATAATAACAACAACAATGTGTTGATGATGATCATGGTGATGATGAGAGTCAACATTTCCTACGTTTTTTTTTCGAAATTGAAACTCGAAAGAGAAAATTGAACTCGTATTCATTCAACAACAACAAAAAGTGATCAGAGTTTGCGCTTTCATGTATCAGAGTAGTAGTCACATCACTTTTAACCAACACCATATCACGTATAATACTAAAGAGCATATATATAGAATAACTAAGAATAAAATGTTATGCAATGAAATAAGAGTTTCGATCAATGTACAGCTGAACAATATTGAGTGTAGATGTGACTATCAACTAAACAATGTTGGATTTAATAATGATTCGAAACTTGGATGAAATAAACGAAGTGCATGAAAAATCAAGCTTTTAAACAATTGAATATAGATATTATTACTATTAGTGGTACTATGAATATGACATTAATCGATAACGTTTGCGAGTAGGAAAATCGTTTTAAATTTCTTTAATCGGTATAAACTATTTAGTCTGTAAGGGGGACAGAAACTTGGAAAACTACAAAAGTCATCATACAGAAGATACAAGTATTTATTAACTGTTTTCTACGCAAATTACTTCACATCCATTGACCGGACACCATCAACAACAATCTACTATGTGAGAGAACAAACTAGATTCGTGTGGAGGAGAAAATCAGGAAGAATCGATGGAAGTGGATAGGACAGACTGCGTCACAAGACAAGCCTTCACTCGGAACCCTCAAGGTCAAGGGAAAAGAGAAAGGCTAAGGAACACATTACGCCAAGAAATGGAGATAGACGTGAGAAGAATGAACGAAAATTGGACAAAACTACTAAGGAAGGCCCAGGACAGAGTAGGCTGGAGAATAATGGTCAGCAGCATATACTCCATTTGGGGTAACAGGAGTAAGTATGTAAGTACTATTTAGTCTATCGCCAAAAAGTATTTAGCTCTGACCAATGGAAAGCTTTCAGTGACAAAATTAAACTTCGAGTGCAGTAGAAGATAGTCCTAACTCTTATTCGTCCACTGGTGCACACGCCTTATTTGGTCACTAGTCTTGCACAGGGTTTGAAAATAAGAATATCACAAAGAAATTTTTCTTCGATGAAATAGTCGTTTTTACTTTTTTTTAAATGGTAATAATAACAGTGCATATCGATGACTTCGAACCAAGGACTCTCGGTCTAGCGCGCGAACGCCTAACCTCTGAACCACTGAGCCGGTATCTAAAGATGTTAATGTCTAACTTCGTAAATTACGCTCAATCAATTAATTAGTGTAGCTCATTCACCAACTACTACTATTCTATCTGTCCATCTTTGAGAAATATTGTTTATTTGAAGGAGAGGGGCGCTACTGATATTATCCAACTGCTTATGTTAAAGTGAGCCGACGTTTATAAACCTTCAAATTGCTGGATAAAAAAAAAGCCAATCACAGATTAGACAAATAGATAAAAACAAACATTAAAGAAAACACCGTCTGTCTGTCTGTTTGTCGACAAACGATGATTTTTCTTTTCAAAAATGATTTCATTGAATCATCCTGCAAGTTATGTAAGAAACAGTGAAATATTTATGAAACTTATGACATTCAAAACTAATAAATAATAAATAAATGAATTAATTTTGAAAAGATTTTGTTTCATTTTCGTCTTAGTTAGTTAGCAAAACTACTAATTGTCTAGTGTTTCAATGAGAGACAGATACTAAAAGAGAAAGAAAGTAGATTTTATTTTGAGACGAATAATTGTTAAATCAAGAAAAGTCACCAACTAATGAGACTGAAGAGAAGATAACTGTCAGTCAGAGAGAAAAATGGAATTATAAATAAGATTAATGGTTTAGTGGTTAACTATAAAATGATTAACTTTTAAGTATATTAGGACAAATTTTTTAAAACCTTCAAACTTGGTTTCTATTCACATTAAGCAATCGAGTAGGATTCATTTATATTCTTCAGATGTAAAATTTGACACAAACACAATAATAATGGTCGAAATTTGATTTATCGATAAAAAATGTATAGATTACTGAATTCATTTCAAAGGTATGTAAAACTAAGACTAATTTCCGGTTATTACTAGTTCATAAATGCTAAATCTGAGAGTAAAACAACTAAACTGTGTTGAAAAGTGTATATTATTGTGAAAATATTGTGCACAGAAAAAGTAACAAGAATCTAAATAAATGGGATCGATGATCGGATCTTCAATAGTTTAACTATATGGTATTTACACATTTGAAATCATCAATCAATCATTGTTAGACCACCATTAGAAACCGGGAAGCACTGGACAGCCGTTTCGTCCTGATATGGGACTCATCAGCAGTGCGCATCCACGACTCCTGCTACTCGCAGGATTCGAACCTAGGACCTTTGGCATTGTAGGCGAACGCCTTACCATCGGATCACTGGGCCGGCATCCGACGGTGTTAATGTACAAGTCCGATTGATCTAGGGATTTCGCGCGACCTCACCCATTTGTCTTTGGTAGCTACTGCCTACACCCGACAGGGCTGAACTCCATTGGTCACGTCTTCTCAACTAGAACTCCGAGAATTTCCTCACGAAGCTTGTCACTAGTGAGCACTGTTACGATATTTTGGGGCACGTTTTTTATTTCGTCCAAACAGTTGGGAATCCGCAGAATGATTGAAACAATACAGACAATCTACATAATTGATTATCAAGCTTAATTTTGTATTTATTGAAGATAATTTTTTATAACGATGGGCCATACAATCAAATACTGTAAGCAAGCGTTTAAATTCATCAACAACTTCCGTACAACAGACAGACAGACATATACAACGCAGAACTTCGTACGTAAGTACATCAGTTCAAGTTGTCATACCGCATTAGCAAAGAGACGCAACTGTCAGTTCAAATCACATTGTGGTAGCGATAGTAGAAGATATGATTCGAAAAGTATAATTCAATGAGATAAATTTAGAAAAAGAAAGATTGAGATGATGCTTCCGTACAACTATCTAGAGGTATTGATTTTCAAACTGTACCCAACAGTTCACCGAGTAGATCTAGTACTAATGATTCTATGTGCCCACTTAAACTCTCAAGGTGTTCTTGTGTATTTATTTCTATCCAATTTAGTAAAGCGATTTGTATTCTCATTCACATTACACTCCGTGAACTTCACTTGGTTATTAAAGATTACTAAACATAGAAAAAGGAACATAACAATGAGACAAAAATCCAAAGTAGCTAGTCCAACTCAACCTTGACCTTACACCCTACATATGTGACATTGCTTTAAGAAAAGTGTTCAGGTAAACCCTAGAGTCCACTAATAGCTGAAGTAGTTGTTAGTAAATACTTATATTCATTTAGTTTCATTCAGAAATTATCAAAATTATCAAAAAAATATTTCCTAATTAGTAGTATAAACCGATATCATACTAAAATATCAATCACCTACAGCTTCAATCAACAATCTTGTGAAAAAAATTAAAAACAAATTATCAGTGGTCTATCGGTTAGGGTGTTCGCGCACAATACCGAAGGTCCTGGGTTCGAATCCTGAGGGGTGCAGCAGTCGTGGATGCGCACTGCTGAGGAATTCCATACCAGGAAGAAACGGCCGTCTATTGCTTCCAGGTTTCTAATGGTGGTCTAACATTGATCGGTTCATGGTTTCAAAAATGTGTAAATTATCAATGAAACAATATTTTAGTAGAGAGAAAGAGAAATTCATACTCACTAACTAACTAACTAAGCAACTAACCAACTAACTTACCATATCATTTTCGGTATTATTTACAAAATGATTAGTAATGTGATTATTTTTAATTGGTAAATTAGTAGAGTTATTATTATTGTTATTATTATGATTATTATTACTGTCAGGGAATAATGAACAATTAGAATTACGACGAATTAAACGTGATGATGACGACGATGATGCTGATGATGCAGATGCTTTACTCGGATATGAACTAGACAAATCAATACTGATACGTGGATCCCATGGGATTTGTTTTTGTCTACGCGTTAAACCAGCACTAGGTCGACGACGATAATTAGCTTTAGAAAAATATAATCATAGGAATAGAGAGAGAGAGAGGGAGAGAGAGGGGAAAAAAGATGAAATCATTATTCAATTAACAATAAATAATGCAATACATAAATTAAGTACCTTATATATTAACAACAACACCAACAACAAGCGAAATGAAATGAAACGAAGCACGTGAGAGAGGAGAAAACAGGAATCAATAAAAGAGAAAAAAAAAGAAGGGGTATTGTATAGAGAGACGCACTTATTTGAGATTCATACTATTGAAATGAAAGAATTACACAACACAAGTAACAGATTTAGAGAATAGTATAATACAAAAAAAAAGTTCATCAACATTGTTGTAGATGAAGAAATAAATATGTCACTCATCAATTCATATCCTATCAATAATGCGTTTAGCGAATAAAATAATGTGTAGATAGATTGTTTTTTTAAGTGATACTCCATTTCATTTGTTCCCTTATATGAAGCATTTCAATTGTAGTTGATACTCATTGCTTTTTCTTACCTCCACTTTTTTCAATTTCTTGTTTACTGCTGCACGGATGTAAGATTTGGTGGTTTAAAACGACGATACACATTCATACCAGCTCCTGTGTGAAATACGAATGACTTAACTGGAACCTACAGGTAACAAACAATAGACAACTGTTCAGGCTTATTAAGGGAACCGGTATTAAGAATCCGCCTGTTAGTGAGACAGGTTTATTATTCATTCTCAATCCAGGAGATTAGATCGATGAGCAGAAAACAACTTTAGGGGTCAGTTCAACTAGCCTTCAGATACATTTTGGTTACCCATGATCTGTAGTTAACCTGAATGGCAAATTGATATAAATTCTCCGAATCTTTTGAAGTTGAAAAGGCTGTAGGAAATTTGAGGCGAGAGTAGCGAGCCCGTGAAATGTTAACGCCTGAGGTTTATAAAGATGGTGGTCCAGTTTTAGCAGTAAGAGTGACTGAAATTTCGGGTAGAATCTAGGGACTGGACGCGATTCTATCCGACTGGTCTCAATCACTGATTATCTCAGTCTATAAGGAAGGTCAAAAGTCCTTCTCCGCAAAGGAATCAGTTTTACTATTATGGTGTTTAAAATACTGGCTTCAACAATATTCCGACGCCTAACTAGAGCTCGTGAAGAGCAGACTAGAAACAACCAGGCTGGTTTTCGTCCTGGATGTGGCTGTATAGACCACATATTTACACTAAGTCAGGTCTTAGAACATAAACACACGTTTGGACGTCCTACAAAAATGGTGTTTCTCGACCTTAAGGCAGCACCTGACTCTTTAGATCGTGCGGTTCTATGTCAGTGTTTGTCACTGAAACGAGTAACAGAGAAGTACATTAACTTTATACAGGCTCTCTACTCGAATACTACTGGCCGGGTGTATAAAACTGACTAAACCAAACATCATATTTTCAAAA